AAAAAAAGCACCTAAATAAGTACTCAATAAAATTTGAACATTTTTTTACAGTCTTATAATTTTGAAAGTGGAAAGATAGTAAATAGGCAATGTAGATAATTAAAATTGCATTTCTGAAGATGATGAAGTTTATGTACCACGCATCCGTTGATAATTTGCTTTTCTCTCTTATAGGTATCAATTCTCCTTATTGTCCTGATGTTCGTTTTTGCAAGTTACGGAGTCCAGCTTTATGGGGGTAGACTTGCTCGATGCAATGACCCTGAGGTCTTATTTAGAGAAGACTGCATTGGTGTGTTCATTCGCCGTGTGTCGGTCACCAAAATGAAACTTGTACCTGGAGAAAATGAAACGTATCCATCCATGCTAGTTCCTCGAGTGTGGTAATGCTGTTTTTCGTTTGGTTACCTCTAAGACTTTTTTATCCGTTTTTATTATGCTCAATATGTTATAGATTTTATTTTTCAGGTTTGTCCATATAGTATCATTATCCTGTCCAGCATTGAGAAAATGGTTCATATAGACTTAATGTTCATACCCAGAAAGCAAATGTTCAATGGGTCAGTTGCACTGGTCACAGAATCGTGTTTCAATGCTTGATTCTCGTAGATTAGCTAAAAACAAAAAGATCTGTCGAAACAGCAACTTTCTATGTTCAATATTAACGGAGATATCGCGCTTTGAAAAGTCAGGTTTTTTACATCATCCACCGCGGTAGTGACACCCTTGGTCTCTTCCACCTTGCCTTTACACTGAGTCAGTGAGATGCACTTTTGCTCTGGTTACTCAATGTGAAACTCAGATGAAAGCAAGGTGAAAGAAACCAAGAGTGTCACTACCCGGATGGATGATGTTAAAAACCTGACTTTTCAAAGGGCGATATCTCTGTTAATATTGAACGTAGAAAGTTGCTGTTTGGACAGATCTTATTATTTTTAGCTAATCTACAAGAATCGAACATCAAACTAAGATTCTGTGATCAGCGCGACTGACCTATTGGACAATTCATCAAACAAAAAGTTGAATGATAGCCAATCCATCATCAAAAAAATGGGTACCAGTGCTGACGTCAAATTCTGCTCTCCTCTAGGTTCATTGTCCCATTAGTGGTTTAAAATTTTTATTACAGTTTCCCAACATTGGGTCATATCTACTTTTCCTTCAGTCCTAAAAAATTGTCTTCTGGCAGGCTCCTTATTCATTTTCAATAATATTAAAAATATTTACAGCAATATTTTGAGACTAGTCATATTATCGATAATGAAACTGCTGGAAAGCATATATCGATTTGCAACATCGTAAGCTTCCTGTTGCACTTCAGTTTTTAGATGAAAATATACTCAAAATCATTTCTTGAAAATTTTCCTGTGCTTTTGTTTTGTATGGGAAGAATATTCTGTAAAACTTTCAAGCAATAGTGTTGAATTTTTCTGTTAGATGAGCTAAAATAGGAGCAGAGATTTTAAAACACTGCAAATGTGATATGCGTTCCTGTAGTTTCATTGAATTGGTAATGAAAATGATGTTATTATAGAAAAAATGGAAAATTCTCCAATTTCATGATATTCTCTCAAGCAGTTTCTGTGCCGATACTCTCTGGAATGATTTTCATGTGCTAATGTCTCTGTTTTGTATCTCTCTCTTGAATCCATTAGTTACCTGAAAACACTCAAAGTAGCGGCTGTGTGCTCCTCACAATGTACAAGCTTTCTATCTGAAGTTCACTAGCTTTTGTTTCATAATCGAAAAGCTATCCTTCTTTTTAATGGGAACCAACTGCGAATTATGCTTTTTGGGTGGAGGTGCTCTAGCTAGGTCCTTAGCACAAATTGAAAATGTGTAACCTGCCACTGAAAAAGGACCCTTAATTTCCTTGTACAAAATTTTTAGGGGATTTGGGTTTGGCATTCGAGCAGGTGGAAACTATTCAAACTCTTATAATTTCCCACAGATTACGGTGTAAGCCTTCAAAAAAAGGGGGCTTAATAGTCTATTCCCTTTTTCAAAATGTTGCGTTTTAAAAGAAAATAAGAAATCAAATAAAAGAAAAATTCCATTTTTTAATTTTAAAATCTGAGATTGTTTAATGTAGTCGATGTATAAAATGTTTGGACATTTTTAAGTTTAAAATATCTCTTGAACAAAGAAAATATTATATTTATTTTCATTTATTGGGAGTTACTGGGCTTTTTCTCATGGCAGGTGGCACTCATAGTTTTTTGCCAGCTTTTCCCCAACTTATTTACATTTTCATGGTTTTAAAAGTTGAGACAATTTTAAATCGGAATTAGTCGCAAGTAAGTCCAGGAAAAACTGTAATTTTTTCTTCAAGTGCCAAAAGTTTCAGCCAATTTGTTTTCTAGTAGTTATCATGAACTTTTTTTTCATACCTTTCCAGCTTTTTCATAGTTTCGGAAGGAGAGCTTGTTCCCCATCTTCATTGCACCATCCTTAATCTTCCTCTAAATAATGAAGCAATTTAGTTCAGCTCATAAATCTACCTCAGATTGTGAAATCTTTCTATCGCCTCTCTTTCCTCTGTAGGGTGTCTACAAGTTTAAAAAATCCAAGAAGTCGGGAAGGAGTCAGGTACTTTTATGATGGGCCCAAAAGTCAAGAAAAATGAAAGAAATCTCCTCAAAGGTTCTGTAAACAATATTTAAAAACTTGCATTGAAGTGAGTTGATTGAACAAATTTTTCTCAGAGCAGAAAGTACTGATCGGCACAATTTGACAAAATCATCAAAATCGTAATCACACTCCTTCCTCTCCATAAAATGTTAGAAATTAACAGTATGTTTTCCCATTTGTTTATCCTAAAAACACTTAAGTCTGGAAGGAGTTTAGATCTATCGGTTTTTCTCAGTGTTTGAGAAGTGAAAAACATGCTCTCAGAGTTTTATGTGATCCATCAAAATCAAAAATAATTGGAGTTTTAAGTTACATAGTAAAACTAGCGGGAGGTTTGGAAAAAATTGAAAAAAAGTTAGATTAAGGTTTTGAATTTCATTACCAAAATTCTGTAGACACCCTGATCTCGCTCAGCCTTTCTTTCTGTAAAAAATGGCTAACACCTTCTATTGCAGCATACCCTTAAATGACTCTAGTTGCTTGTTAAAAATGAAGACAAGTTAGGAGAAGATAACAAAAAGAGGACAAAAATCCACTGGGTACCATAGCGTATCTGATTTTGCAGGCGATTATTTTGAAATGCATTTTGTTTACAAATCTGCTCTCATTACCCAGTACTGGAATGAAGGCAAAATTTTCAAAAATTATCTAAATAATTTCATGCTGAGGAATTGAAAGGTATCTGGAAAGAGGGAGTTACGTGACATTTTTTAAAAATTTAAGATTTTTATTATTGCGAGTGAAACTTTTTTCTAGGTATACTTGATCAAAAATTTGAGCTTTAGAGTTTGAAATTTTACCTCACTAATGAAGTTCCAAGTTTATTCGTATCTTAAGCTGCTACTGCTGTCTTTAATCATCTTCGAATTTCTTCATCTAGAAATTTTAAAAATGTCACTTAACTGGTCATTTCTTGGATGAAAGAATGTAACTACATACATTTTAATGTAGCAAAATTCCTGTTTCCAAACTATATTTTTACATGAAAAATATCAGGCGTTTGAAGCTGATAATTTCACTAAGTTTTCTTTGGAATACACACAAAAATCGGCAAAATTTTGAAAAAAAAATCGCCTAGTCATATCCTTGCAAAAAATTAATTTGTCTAAGTCAATTTTGCAACCTTGCACTAGAGTCCTGTTCTTTTGTCTGAGAAATGACAAACTGCTTCATCGATGATATTCTTGTCTGTGGTTATGTTATAAGAAATTTTTACCTATCCCAAGAATTATTTCAAAATCTTTTTTTCCTAAAGACAAGTCAGGGATAATTTGTTTCTATTACATTGAAACAGTTTATTTTTCCCTTTTTTTCATCCCTCTATTTGACTTGTGTAGGATTTACACTAAATCAGCTGATGGTATCATTATTAAACTCATTCTGGCTTTCTACAATCAATCGTCTCTAAAATAGGATCAAAATTTCTCTCTCCGAAAAGCAAATTTTTCATAGAATACTGCTGTTGTCTTTTATAGCTCTTGAACATGTTTAACATTTTGATTTTTGAGTATCAATTGTGTGTATCAGGGCAAATCCACGTCGATTCAATTTCGATAACATAGGATATGCAATGCTTGCTCTTTTCGAAGTTCTGTCATTCAAAGGTTGGCTGGATGTCCGCGACATTCTCATCCGCGCTCTTGGACCAGTAAGTGGCATGACAGCCACATTATTGGTGTCGCCCGCCCGTCGCAAAGTCAAACCGTGCATTTTTGTAGTACACATTTCAATGTCATGACCTTATCGTTGTATCCACGTTACCCAACTTAGTTTTTCGATGTATCTGAAGAGAGAGCCAAATGAGTAGATGTTAGCCTTAAATGTAATACCAGAGCAGCAAAACCTTTTCAGAGGACTTCAAATGTATACCTTATAACTGTATCTCTTGGGGGAAAATATCCAAACAGATTACAAAAACTTATACTTCAATGTTTTCCAAAACTTTAAGTTCTGTATTTTAATATTTAAGAAGGTGGATAAATTACTCACCAATGAACTTGAACAATCTATCTATCTATCAATGAAATGACCAAGCTAATATTATTTCAGCCTGATTCCAAAAAAGGATATTACCATAGTCAAATATTGAAGAACAATTTGAAAACGGGGTGAAGTCTTAAAATCATCCAAAAAGAAAAAAGAAAAAAAAAAAAGAATCTGTCAGCTTTTAGAAGAGCACTCAGGCTAGACCTTGGGAAGCACCGTGAATTTTCCCCAACTATTCTCAAATTTGGGTGTAAGAAATTCTCAGCGGCCTGAAGGTTTTACTGCTCTCATCAGTTTTGCATGATCATTTTCATCATTGCAATATTTCAGAATTTATTATCATAATCGGTTTTTTTCATGTACACAATTGAAGGATTGTTAATCTTTTTTTATAAAAATATGGCAGCATATTTCATCAATATTAATGAGCCCAAGAAAACTAAAAACATTGAGATTTACATAGTTAGACCACTCTGTAATATTGATATGTAGACTGACTCACCAGCATTCTGATTGCATTAATCAGAATACCATACTTAAGCTACGTTCCATTGCAAGAAGTACGCAATTTTTTAGGTCTCATGTGACTTTTGTCATTTTTGTCCAATTATCCCTTGACTTTCGCATTGGTGCTTCTAGCTTTATTATATTCTTCTATTCTATTTGGGTTCTTCATTGATTATTTCATCAGTGCCACTTTATGTTGCTTGTTTAGCTTCTTTACTCTTCTTTTCTTCTTTAACTTAATTTAGGTGTATTTACTCATAACGTTCCTAGTTATAATATCTGCACCGCATCTCTACTTTGTATGCTCTACCAGTTCATGCTATTCTATGCATTGCTTTGCTTTCATCTAATTTCTCTACTTTTTTCATTTGTAGTCAATTAACATTTTTGCATGTCTCCATGGCGCTTCAATGAAGTAGCACGTTCCCTCAAACATTTGCTGTTTGCAAAGATACATATCATTCTTACAAAGAACACTTTAAACATAGCATGGAGAATGAAAGCATTAATATCTTAATTTACAGCAGATTTTTTTAGTGAAGGAAGCAACACAAAAAATTGAATCTGGGGATCAATCAATCAAATGCGAAGAGTGTGAAAATGTTAAAGTGCCAAAAATTATGTACAGCCCAAATGAGGACTAGCGATAATACAGTCTCCTTGATTAAGCCATCTAAAACGCACGTTGCTTTTAATGGTTAAAAGTTCAATCCAAAATGTGAATTTCTTTCATTTTTTATTAATTCAGTAAATGATTTATTAACATTGGATTGATTGTATTTACAATATTACAACAACTGAGGTGGGTTCCTGAAGAAGGATCCTTATCAGTTCAGGTGTGCTCATTCTTTCAAGCAGCAGATGTCCAGACAAACGGCTGTGTAGACGAGGCCATTGCCACCTGCCCCTTCAAATATGACAAATCCGAGAAAAAAATTCACATGTGTTATGGGCTTTTCCTCTAGAACTCTTCTCAATGATGTATGACTGACTATACAGCAAGTTTCCAACATATCAACGAAGGAAATTTTGCATAAATTAGATTCTTACGATGGGAAGAAGCCAAAAATAGTGGGAGGAAAATAGAGAGAGAAAAAGAATGTGAACAATTCATTCCAACACATGAATTCCCAAGGCAGTTCTTTAGCATGGTAGTTAGATGTATTTTCACACTTGTTATGCATCGACCCTAAATTTTTATCAAGTTTCTCCGCAGAGAAATCATTTGTATATTAGCTTGAAAATCGGCGTTTTACTGTAGTAAAAATGTAGTACTCCAAGTCTCTGATCAGATTCTTCTCCGGTACTCATGTAGTAAGTTATCCTTCTGTTGTGCCAAGAAAGAACGTCATATGTACTTTCTAGAGTTGCCAAATTTCCCGGGATAAAACATGTATTTTTGTGGAAAGTTATGGACGTATTTCCTTGAAATTTTCAGATATATTAGATTAAATTGCAAATAAAATTTTCTGAAAAAACAGGTATAAAAATATTCACAACTTTTTCAATAAATTCACATTTTTTCAAAGAAAATTTGGCAACACCCCAAGGTTCATACGGCGTTCCTCCTCAGCATGGCAGTTTGTAACCGTACCCTGATCAAATCTTTCATCAGTCACCAACCAAAAGTGTTTTTCTAGTTCATTCATGTAGTTGTTACAAGGATCCTCATGGTATACTTCTCTTCACAATTTATTTTAGTTTATTTCTCTGATGCTATCCGTGAAATGAAAAAAAAAAAAAATTCAGGCGCCTTACTTCGTTAAATTTTTCTATCCAAGCAAAGGCATCACAAGTAGCACCATTGTTCTAATTTTACCTTAAAAGTAAAGGGGAAGGGGGTTAGGGTAGCTGAATTTGGTATTTTCAGTTATTAAAGAAGATCCGTCCAAAGTGAAGCTTAGAAAATAAGACCAATCCACACAGGTAAGTTGTTCCCAAAGACAAGTTTTGAGAGCCTACTGCGTGTTGTTGCCTGGAAGTTTATAAATGCAATGCATTTCTCATGGGAGCAGCTAATGCTGCGTCACACTGGTTGCAGTCGAGTGAAGGCTGGGTGTGCATTGCAAAAAGATGCGCAATGATTGACCTGTGTGGATTTGTCCTGTCCATAAGCTCAGAGTAGTACTTGTATGACAATTCGCTAGCTTTTTTTGTTTTGTGTTAAAAATATATTTACTTCGGAATTTTCAGCAAAATCATTCAGTTTAAGAATAATTCATAACGTAATTTGTATCTCAGGAACTAAAAATGATACCTAGAACAAATCTGTAAAAGTTCCTGTTTTTTAATATTCTGAGCGCCCTTAAAGTTCAAGTTTTTGGAATTTATACCAGTGGTCCGCAAGAGATCAGATTTTTATGCAGCTCCTGGCAGGCTCTTTGTTCTGTTCACCAAAGAAGGAACCGAGTATGCTCATCTTTCTCCAATTTTTTTTAATACCATTTTTTGGGTAATAACGTCCATTTAAACTCTATTAGATATATTATTGAAGAAAAAAGCCGGTCAAAGGGTCATTTGTGTGACTTTCAAAATCTCTCTCAAATCAAACTAGAATTATTCTTTTTTATGATTATGTCTGCAAAGAATTCGAAAATTTGCCAAATTCGGCTGTCTTTATGAAAATTTAACGAGATGATAGGAATAGTTTGATTCCAACATCAAAATTTTTTAACTGCTTTGAAAGTTTGGACACAATTACATCCTCTTCTTTGAACAGATTCCGAAACCCCAGAGCAAGTATTTTCTTTATTTACCAAGGCAATCGTTTCTCTCTGAGAGCACAGCCTAGTTAATTAAACATAGGTAGAGAAAATAGTTTTGAAATTTTTGTCCACAGTCATTTTAGAGACCTCTGAAAATGTATCCCCTCTAGCACATTAATACTGAGCAATTAGGGTTAATCAGCAGATCTTTGCCTTCAACCATTTAAAAGGAAAGTGGGATTCAGAGCTGAGCTTAGTAAACTGATGAAATCTACTCTGCAATGCTCAGAAAGCCTCTAGTTGCGAAGTCTCTTATTCATAGAGTTTTTTCTTTCTTTTTTTCAGGTCCATGCCGTTTACATCCATGTTTACATTTTCCTTGGTTGCATGATTGGATTGACATTATTTGTCGGTGTGGTCATTGCAAATTATTCAGAAAATAAAGGCACCGCTCTTCTTACCGTTGATCAGCGGCGATGGTGAGGGTTTTTAAATTTTTTTTTTTTTTGATTATTTATTTAGCACATCTATGATATACATATTTAGCACTGTTACTGTACAATGATAATTACTATGAAATGGAGCGAATGTGAAGAAAATGAGTATGAAAAGAAGATTAAATCTAGAATAATATTAACTAACTAATAAGACAATTGTCTAATAACTTAAAATTAGACAAATTTTTATAAATACAAGACATTAAGAAACTGTACATACATAAGATAGGTTAAAATAAACCCCATATATACAGAGAACGTCTTTTGTTTCACTCTAACGAGCTACTAGCCCTTATTGTAAATTTTAAAAATGTCACCCCTTTTATTTGATAACCTACGAAAGTTATTTCTCCTGATGCGTGAGTAATAAGATTGTTGGACAAACCAAAAGACGTAGGAATGAATAAACCGGATTCAACCTTAGAATAATGCATTCCCAGTTTTTATCTTAAATAATTGATTGTTTAATGATCAATTTTTATATTATTTAAACAAAAATAGTAAGGACAAAAATTAATGAAAAGATTTTACTCTCAATGCATATGGTTAAACATTTTTTCTCATCGATGGTAATAATTTCAGGTGTGACTTGAAGAAACGGCTGAAAATTGCTCAACCCCTTCATCTACCTCCAAGACCTGATGGTAAAAAACTTCGAGCTTTTATCTATGATATTACCCAGAACATAACATTCAAAAGATTCATCGCTGTTATGGTGATCCTCAACAGCAGCCTTCTCTGTGTTTCGGTTGGTATTCAAACTTTGCAAGCATGTGGTATATCTTATTTTCACTTTCTTTTAAACATTAAACCAAGCTTAGGCACAAGAAATTTTAATTTTTTGTGTGAATCTTATAATAAGGCTTTTGAATGGACCACTAGACATGGTACGAATTTCAGCATTCTGATACATGTTTCTCAACTAAAATTTCACGTAAAACACGATGCGCACAACGAAAAGTACAAAAATCAACTCCTTACGAAGATATTCAATGATTCTTGATGCGTGAATTCAAACCACCCGCTTATGAAAACCCAATGCTCTACGTGATTCACATCGAACGCTAAACGTTATCATGACAGTCTTTGCGATATAAAAATCTGGCAACCTCAATCTTGACACTTTGGCTCAGCTACAGTATATTGCTTATAGTTTGAGCAACACATGGTGGAAAATGTATATTGCTCGATTAAGAGGCTTGCTGAAACCGTTGTAGTGCGCGATTTGACTCACGTAGAGCTTTGAGTTTCTTGTGAGCGGGCAGTTCAAATCCCTCGTAACCAATGTGAAAATTTCAAAAATGTTAATATCTTCGTTAGGAGTTTATTTCAGTAATTTTCGTTGCGCAAATCGTGTTGTACGTGAAATTCTTGTTAAGAAGCATGTATCACATTGTTTAAATTCGTACCTTGTCTAGTGGTCCATTGAGTTGTGTGGATGCTTTTAAATAGAAAAATTTAACCGATGCCCAAACAGCAGTCATAGTTTTGTCAATACATACTCAAATTTTGTAGTTCCCAGAGAGAATGGTTGAGTTTAAAGCATTTCTTGTTATTCATGAGCAATACAAAACCCGAGACCTTTGTAATAATCCTTTCAGTTCAAAAAAAGCAAAACTGGTAATATTGGAAGACGAAAAATCATAGAAACTATCATTGGACTTCAGAATCTTTGATAACATTGTAATTGTACTATTCAACAGAAAATATTTTGAAATTCCTACAGATAGTAGAGTCTAAATTCTTTCAATCTTGAATTCTCCACAGGATTTTGCATAAGTTGCAGCCCGAAAAACCACAAATTCTAAGTTTTGTCATAATTTTTGCCTCAAAAATAATTGTCTATCAAGTTGTTCATTTTTTACAGACTTTAAGTCCAAAAGAGATTGATCTGAAATCAGATTTTGAACAATTTTGCATGAATAATTTGTTTTATCAATACTTTTGTAAAAATTTGTGTTTGAATTTGCTTTCTAGTGGCGAGAATCTGAGCCACATACAGATCCTCTGGCATTAATTAGCACTGGACTCACTCTGGTATTCGTTGTTGAGGTTGTGATGAAGAATATTGCCTTCACGCCACGCGGATACTGGCAATCTCGTCGAAATCGATATGAGCTGTTTGTGACAGTGTTCGGTGTTGTATGGATCTGTCTTAATTGCACACTCAGGGTGAGCAATCATTTGCGTTCCCTTTATATTTCAACTAACTAATGAACTCTCAGTTAAAATCCGGTTGTTTTTCCATGATATGTTCAGTTTTTCTTTCTATCAGAATAGATGGTTTCATGATTTTGCCACCGAGAGCCAAAAAAAATGTATTGCTCTTAAAATTCGCGACAAAATATGTTTTCTCTCTCTTTTTGATGCTTGAGAGTCGTAATTTGATCTTTACAAACAGATCATTTCAATGTTAATGCTGCACTAGCTACTTTGCCAAAAATCATGTTAACCCTCGATCTCAAGATGCGCATCTCAAACCTCAAGAATTCCATACTTTAAGATCCCTTACCTTTGTCTCTCTTTCATAAATAGTTCACTTCAAGAAGATCTCCTGGTAACTGCTACATGATCAGCATTTATTAGGAAGGGACCTAGTCCATCCCTGTGTTTTCAAAATCGTGCAATTTTTCCCTTCCTGAAAAACTCTCAAAAGTTTGAACATTTTTTATTTTTCCACCAAAAAAGTGTTAGTTTTAAGTGTAACAAGCCCTGTTAATTTTATTATTGTACATGCATTCAGTTTTCAGTACACTAGAGATGAAGTTACATAACTTTTAAACACAGCAATAAGCTTCGCTCCTTTCTGATGACCGCTGTCCACCTCTGAGTCCGTCTAAGTGGGACTGATTAAAAATAGTACAGAAATAATTTTTTCGTCTAAAATATGAATCATAAGCTAATATCCTAACTCCTCAGAAATGGAATCCTAGTGTCAAGCATACATTTTTTAAAGTAGATAGTTATGTTAAGTATTGATATTTAGGTTAAAATTCCTATCGTTTAAATTGTAGGACAGCCAGGGAATGTGGTGTTGGTCCATTTTCTGAATTGGTAAATGTCCATAATTTTTGCATTAAAACTGTTAAAAGTCAGCAATAACGATTTTTTTTTTTTTTTCAAACGTTTCATTCAAAACTTAGTGTACAATCAAAATTTTTACTCAATTATTTTTTTCCTTTCAGAATGAGCTCTCGTACTCAGTCGGCTTTGTGGTTGTTATTCTCCGATTTTTCACCATCACTGGCAAGCATGCAACTTTGAAAATGCTCATGTTGACCGTCGGTGTCTCTGTCTGCAAAAGTTTCTTTATCATATTTGGCATGTTTTTATTGGTTTTCTTCTATGCTCTTGCCGGTACCATTTTATTTGGCACTGTCAAATATGGAGAAGGAATTGGACGGTAAGTCTACCTTTGTCCGCTATCCTTTTAAATTTTGTAGCCTAGAATCGAGTACAGATATTCAAGATATTCAGTATCTCAAACTTTGGATACAGCCTTTAATGTAACACAATCAAGAAGTAGGCAGTTGTAGTTTTTCAAAAAATTGCATCTCCTACGTTTTGTGATCGAATGTATTGATTTAATACAGCCACTGCTTTGCTGATCGATTTTACAGGTAAAGATGTGTTCCACGGGTACGTTACAACTAGCTCTACCATGACTAATTTCTTCCTGTCATCTGTGCCATCATGTGATTCGTTCTTTTGAGCAAACTTTTAGTGTTGTAATATGTCCAATGAATAGCACAACTATTGTTCCTCCTGTTTTTTTGAAAAAAATTAGGATGTTTTTTCATAAATGCCAAAGAGCCGGGGAAAATACGTACCTAAAACACCATGGCAAGAACTTGTTAAGGTAAAGCCTATTTACATGCTTTAGTGGAAAAAATTTTGGTTTTTAATTCAAGGAAATTAAGCGGAATCAAATTATTATCAGCTTCATTGATTTTTTATTGTATGGCAGGATTTAGAAAACTAGGATTAATTGTATGGTTCTAATTTTGCATCCTACCAAATAATTCATGGCATTTATTATTTTGGTTTCAGCTTGGCTAACTTTGGGTCGCCTGCAACAGGTGTAGCAATGTTATTTCGAATTGTAACGGGCGAGGATTGGAACAAAATCATGCATGACTGCATGATTCAACCGCCATATTGCACTCCAGCTAACAATTATTGGCAGACTGACTGCGGTTCTTTTATCGCCTCGCTCCTATACTTTTGCTCATTCTATGTCATCATCACCTACATTGTTCTCAACTTACTCGTTGGTAAGAAGTTTTGATCAAAGTGAACTTACAATGATTTTTCTGAAATAATTCATGATGGGTGTTAAATGCCTTTCGGCACATTCTCCGGAAATGGGGTTTTCCCAACTGATCACTTGTGTTCCGAGCTTTCATGCAATCGCCAGTTGAATCATTTTTATGAGTCCCTAATAGATTTCGATACCAATCAAAAATGTTTGCTCAAACACCAGCTCTTTCATAGCTATCTGATCGCAAAAGCACCAGCTTTGACCACAACTTCCATCATGCAGTTGCCAATCGTTCGAACACTGGTCGTCTATATCAAAGAATAACTAACTAAAACTTGGTCAACTTACAGGGAAGTAGGATTTTGTTCATTTGGAGCGCACCCTTTTCATTCCTATAATCTAATGTTAAATAACATTAAAACCTTCAGTTAATTAGTTTTTAGAACCAGACCGAAGGTATTTTAAGGATACACTAAATTATTCTCTAAAATTATTGTTTCTTTGATTTGCAGCCATTATCATGGAAAACTTCTCCCTTTTTTACTCCAATGAAGAAGACGCTCTTTTATCATATGCTGATATCAGAAATTTTCAGAACACGTGGAATATTGTTGATGTTCATCAGAGAGGTGTAATTCCTGTTCGCAGGGTATGCATAATTTAAACTTTATTGAATTTTCATGGTTTTTATTTATTTGTGAAAAGTCTATTATGAGCTCATTTCTCATCCAAATCAGATTCTATGAATTTGAATTGTGAACTACAGGTGCTGATTTGTATCAATCACCAAAAAAAGCTTCAAAACTAGTTATTTCATTCGCAGAGGAAACTTAAGCTTAATGTCAGTAATCTGTAGAAATTGAGTTTTATCAAGCCCCCATTTGTACAAGACTCCAAACATCTTCAGTCACAAACAGCATTCTTTAATCTTTTACTACCTAGTATTTTTTGCCCAGAATATAGTGAAATCAGGAAAACATCTACAATGATTCCATACTCTCAAAATGTTTGCCTCGATTGTATTTTTTGGTCTCATCATGTAACTTTTTCTCTCATAATTTTTAGAGAATGGGTCAGTTACAGTGATCACAGAATTGTGTTTTGGTGGTTTAAGCATAAAGATTAGCAAAAAATATTAAGTTCCATTTACACGCCAACTCTCTACTTCTTATATTAACTGAATTATTGCTTATCGTAGAATACGGTATATGCCTTCATCTGCTGAGGTAGACCTTACCATCATATCTTCCACTTTGGTTTCATCAATTCGTGATACTCACATTTGCAATGGTTACTCGATGTAAAATTTCAGATGAAATTAAGGTGGGGAAACAACAGTACGCCTTACCATGGTGGATGATGTCATACACAGCGTCTTTCGATGGATGATCTCTCCATTAATATTGGATGCAAAAATCTGAAGTAATCTTCCGCTGTGGAGTTACCAGTTTAATATATGTTTGATTTACCAAGTCTTCATCTTTCATAGTAATTTATTTTGTATAAAAGAGATTTATCATGAACAGGTTGCATTAGCTGCATTTTGTTTTGATATCACCCCTGAATTTATTTTGTTCTCAGGTAAAGTTCATTTTGCGTTTATTGAAAGGGCGTTTAGAAGTAGACCCACAAAAAGATCGCCTTTTATTCAAGCATATGTGTTATGAGCTAGAGCGATTGCATAATGGAGAAGATGTAACTTTTCATGATGTTTTGAAGTAAGTTATAGTTTTTTCTATTCTACACTGTTTATTCTCAGAGAATCGTTAAGTTATAAGACAGAATCGTCTTTCAGTCATTTGGGGAACTCCCTATTTTTGCTCAGTTTCCTCTGAATGGGCCAGTTGCACTGGTAACAGAATCGTGTTTTGATGCTTGATTCTTGTAGATTAGCCAAAAATAAGAAGATCTGTCCAAACAGTAATTTTCTATGTTGAATATTAATGGAGCTAGCGTCCTTTGAAAACTTTTGTCATCCACCGCAGTAGTGCATTACATGGATGTACTACTGTGGTGGATGATGTCATAAATTGAGTTTTTCAAGGATATATCAGTTAATACTCAACATAGAAAGTTGCTGTTCGGACATATCTTATCACTTTTAGTTGATCTGCAAGAATAAAGCATCAAAACACGATTCTGTGACCAGCACAACTGACCCATTCTCCCCAACAGAATGAAAATTGAAAGGTTCTCTTGATTTTATTTTTCAGTTAAAATAGCCAATTTTTTAATGCCCTGCCTTTCTCTTTTCAACCGCCTATTTTTAAAATTTTTTGATTACATATTCATATAACATGCTAAGTAGCGTCGCTAACAGAGCAGTGGCAGGGAATTTTTTAAGGATTGTAAGGCAACTTTTCTTCAATGAAATTTTGTAAGAAATCAAAAAGTTTATGAAAAAAGTTCAAAATATTATTTCTAACAAGAGGAAAAGCTAATCAAATTATTATTTCTAGCAAGAGAAAAAGCTAATAAAAATCCAACCAATCCAAAGAGCCTGCCAAAAATATCATTACGAACGAGTTCCATATTTGATATTTTTAAAACAGGGTTTCTTTGCCATTTCGGGTTCATAAAAAATCGAAGAAAATTCCTTGAAGCTTAGTTCCAGAAAACTGTACTTCCAGAAAATGAATTTCAAAAAAATGGCTGTCACTATTATATAGTGCAAAGTTCTTTGTGTAGTTTAAAATTTAACATCTACGTTCATTTACGTAACATTTCATTTACGTTTGCTTATTTTGCAGCATGTTGTCGTATCGATCAGTCGACATCCGTAAAGCACTTCAACTAGAAGAATTGCTAGCCAGAGAAGAATTCGAGTTTGTGATCGAGGAGGAAGTAGCAAAACAAACCATTCGAGCATGGCTGGAAAAATGCCTGAAAAAAATTCGAGCTACTAGTGTTAATGTGAGTCACACACGAAAATCGTTCATGAAAACTGTTGGCAGTTATTTTAGTTCTGTTTTAGATCAACTTAAAGTAAACTTCTCCTTAATTGACTCACGTTCTCCAGAACGAAGTTTTTGTTTCTAAAAGTTTTTAAACTTTCGAAAGTGTGAAAAGTAAAGGCTACTATTTATTTTTGACTATCCCCAATGGAAAGACACATGTGGAGCGGCACCACATTTTTCAGAAAGGCAAATTGTATCAAGTTGAAAAAAAAAATTAGCATCTGAGTACAGAAAGCATAATCCACCATTCCAATTAATAAATTGTTACTAGTTTTTTTTATTTTCTAGTAATAGGGGGCGTATTCCTTTCTTCATCTCTGTGAATCTGACAATTTTGAGCCCTCCGCATTGCACTTGAAAATTTTCGAAAGTTTTCTCTCAAATTATAGTCATCTCATCTGTCTAACATTCCTAGATATTTTTTTGCGAAACAATCCGTGGAATACTCCTCCCAGCAGTGACGTCAATATAATAATTTCGAGGTTTTTAATACTGAAGTCCTATTTTGTCAAGATGATGACATTTATGAGTTTTATTATTATTAGTTTATATTATTCGCTCGTGTTTCCAATTAAATTAGCTACTTCTTATGTAAATGTATTTCATGATCGTGTTTGAAAAGAGACCCACACATAGATTTATGCAAAAAATGTCAGCATCAGCAGCGTCAGATACTTAAAGCCACTCTGGCAATGGTGGTACGCGACACCTTTCTCATGAATTTATTTGATGAAAATGATGTCATGTATAATTTATTTTTGCAGAAGCAGCAGAACAGTCTGTTAGCAGGACTGAGAGCAACTAATGAACTTTTGGCTACAATGCAAGATCATAATGAAGAGAAAGCAAAGGAAGTTGGTGTTGAGAGAGATGATGACAATGAAACAAAGGTAGGTTTCTTGCCTGTTTGCTATTGATGCACTCTTCCTGCCATACTTTATCCTACAATCGGAGAACTAAGCCGTGTAGTTTCTCAAAGATTTCCATGATTTATCTTCTCTATATGAAGAATAAACTGTCAAACAATGAAGTTCGTTTGCTTCTCTTTAGAAAAATATCAAGGAGCAAAAATATCCAAACTTGAGAACTATGGACAAGGAAAAGACGAGTTCGCAGCCGGGTAGGTCGAGTGCTGAAGGACTTCACCCGCAATGCCTCAAAACAGCTGATTTGGAGTCGGAGACATTGAAAACTTCCCATCATTATTAAGTTGCTGCTGGGTTATCAGTTGTCAGGGATAAGAATTTTGCTGCAGCCGGCTTTTTAAAGTACTTTTGCAAAAATTTTCTACCTTCATAATAGAGTCTTAGAACGTTATCTCCACGGTTAGTCACTGAGGTGGAGTTTTTAATAATTTTGCAATGCATTAGCTACCAAAGACAGGTTTTGCTTGTATCTAGCCACTACTTATGTTACTTATACTTGGTTTGGCCACTACCTATAGTCTACCTGATGAGAAATCCCGGCAACTGTCAATAATTTCCCTGCAGATGCCAACTGGTCGAGCCGTTTTTTTATACAATAAGTCAAGTTCTATTGAAAAGATTTATCTAAAATCAGCCTAAATATATTCAATATTCTCTCTTATTCATGAGGAAACCTGGAAACATAACAGCTTGAAACTTCCTGTTGATTTCCATTAGATTATAGAAAACATACTCATAAAATTTTCAGGTCAAATTTTGGTCAGCTTTCAAATAGAAAAATGAAAGTCGAGAAGTAATTACGGAACTCGTAATGTGGTGAGGTTGATTTTAGTAAATCTCTTTTCATTTTGAAAACCGTGAAAGCTACCTTAGCAATTTTAATTCCTAACAATTCTTGAATCTCAGCAGCCTGCTAAATACAATGCTAATTTTTATTTTATTAATATAACAGTTTGGGAACATACTTATCAGAGCAATCATGCTTCAACTATCAAATTTTTAATTTTTTTTCAGGAGTGGGATACCAAGCCCCGATCGAAAACTGGTGGTGTAACGAAAGCAGTTGGCATTCCAAGATCTGATAGCGTTGGTAGTGGATCTGGTCGAAAATACCTGGCTCCTACCCTATCTGATCCAGCTTCACGCCCTGATAAGCAGTCAGCCATGCCAAAAAGTCGGAACAGCAGATCAGCCAGTAAGATTTTTTTTTCTTTGAATTTCCCTGCATACCTATTAACTTCTCACTTGTCATTAAGATTGGTGGGAAGAAAGGGTTGCTCTTTTCGAATTACATATGTAATTTTGCTCTGTCCTAATTACTGTGTTTTTGGTTAAGAAGTTTTTTGAGATTTACCATGTATCCTTAGGTATAGTTTGTGATTCTAAGAAGTGATACTGGAGACTGTATGAATTTCAGTTTCAAAAATAAAGTAATTTTGCCACCATTTGCTTTATTCAATGGGGTAAATGGCCTCACCATTGATTCTTATGGGGAGTAAACGAAAATGTAACATTTTTCGTTTGCTGCTAAAGAAAACTGAACTGACTGATAAAACTGAAGTTAAAACCAATATTCTAAATTGTCGATTGTAAGTGCCTCCTATATCAATAATGGGAGAAACATCCGTATCTGTTTTTGTTTCCTAAGACTAACTTCGGATTTTAATTTCTCCTTTTCTTTATTTTGCTTCAGCTTTGAACAAGAACAGCTTGTCTCATCTGTCAGAAGGACTAGAGAGCTCTCGATCATTCCGTGATATGTCGAACAACAAAGCGATGTTGGCTCGAATGTCCCACATTAGCTCAGAGGTACGTGACTGGTGGAATGAACAACTTGACCACAGCTCAGATTCCAGCGATGATGATTGTAGTTAACCCACTAAATCAACTGTTCAGACAATTTAAGTACAATTAGTTAGTATAAGTTATCTAAAAAACTGAATAATGAGCAGAAAATCAAACAATTTTGTTTAATCATTTATTGTAAAATGCTGGGGGGAGGGTTCTTAGAAAGTGGGAAACCAGGATTTTCTTTTCCTTTCCACAAGAAACTTCGAAAATACACTGCATTTAATTTTTAGCTGACTAAATAATTTTCACGGCAAAATCTGTCTGCTCTTCTATTTAAGTACCATAAAATCAAAGAAGGAAACACAGAATTTGGAACGTAGTATGAACTATCTAGTGGAAAAAATCTTTAAGATTCTTAATTATTCAGTCTCTCCAGATGTCCAATTGACTTCCTTTTGAATCAGATGGGCAATACATGCCTTGGATTCTTTTAAAGCCATAATATCTTCTGAAAAGAGATTCCCTGCGTTTAAAAATGCCTTGCATTTATTTGTCTTTACATTAGTACATGCAGCAAGGTGATATTCCATTTTCTAAGAAAACCGTATGACGTCAATTTTCCTCCAAGTTGACATGTGGTCAACACAATTTTTGTTATTATTAATTTTAAGCTTCAGGTATTCTGAATTTTAGGATAAGTAACTTGTACATAGCCTTTAGATTTATTAAGACCACAGTACTTTCATAAAATTTTAAGTTTTTATGGTTTTATGTATTTCCTAGAGCGCGAATAAAGTGTGAAAGTTGCATGTTTTTGGAAAGATTTGCTTTTATTGTATACCACTCATTCAATCTTGGGCCAAAAAAGAAAATATGGGAGGAAAAAAAATTACGTCAGTAACTCATCAAGTTTAGTCTTTCTTTGTGAGTGTCATGTGTTTCCCAAATTAACTTACAAATTAAAATATTCATATGCAGGAATTTTATCCCTTAGTGTTTGCGAGGCACTCATTGTCAGTGTAGAAGATGTTCTCCAAGCATGTTTTGTTTTGAAGAATTTGTTTTATCAAAATTACACAAATTTTAAGTATGGAGGATATACAATAGGAAACTTTGCATATCACAAAAATTAAGTAGAGTCAAGGATAAAATTTCAAGTTACTCCTCAGGACTCCCGTGAAATTATTGTTTTGAGCATTTGTTTAGGATTTCGATGCACGTACAAAACCTCGAAGGAAGTTTCAAATTAAGGTGGTGAGCCTTGAAATTTTGACCCAAGAGCTGCGCATTCAATTATTCTGCTTTTCATAGAGGAAATGTCCAGTTAAGATTAGTGGCCATTTTTTGCATCTTCTAGTAACATGACGAAATATGCCACTGAAGTTTCTGATTTTTAAAAAAATTATTCAAAAAACAGCAAAATTTATGCCAAAAAAGGCAAAATAAGAATGTGGAAGAGACAGTCAGCATGATTGGCACAAGAGATGTTAGAGAGTTATGTTCAAAGTTTTAAATTGTTACTGTACATATTGGGGGGGTCACCTTCCTTTACGAGAAATCCCATTTTTTGCTAAAAAAAATTTGGTAGGATCTTGAGATTTCATACGTTAACTCAGTTTAGAACACTCTCAATCCAAACAATAATCTTCTAGAAAAACGAACTCTGTTCGCTTACACTTGTCTTGCACAACTTTTCTCAATACAGAAAGTCATCATTAGGTACTTACTGAGGACAAGTTTTTATGATGATTTTCTAGACATGCATAATTTTTGGTTCTGCTTGCTTCTATTATATTATTATTTCGTACAAAACTCCAATAGACCACTACCTCCCATATCTTCCCCAAAAATAGTTTTTGATGTTCCGTTGAAGGAAACTTATAGAAGGGAAAAAATAATTTAATACATGCTGACTTGTGTACGGGATAAATTTATTAACGCTAAAACACAGCCTAAAGCGGATCCTTCTAACATACATTCATAATTATCAATTTCAGTCTTCTTTCACAAGGTTGAAATGTTCAACAGAAAAGGGATGATATGTATATCTCATACTTCTATGTATTCATGAGACATTTATGGAATGTGTTTACATATACAATTTTGGGAATCATGTCCCTTGATTTTCACATATTTCACTTTAATTCAACAAAATAATATGAACACGCAAAAATAGAACTAGGAAGACTTTTCAAGTCAATAATTCATCAGAAGAAATTAATTACCTACGTTTCGAGAGATAAAGTCCAGTCTTTAAAATTGAATGTGCACACCTTAAAATATAAAATATGGTGTTTTTTGATTGGACATACGTGTATTTTCACGAGGAAATACACAAAGTGGCATGCAAACTTTAATCAAACCTTAAATAATTAAAAACAATGTAGAACCACAAAAAACAACATCCTAATCATCTATTCTTGAGACATTTTTTAAAGAATTGTGCTGTTCATTTCCAGTTACTCGAAAAGATTTTGAATGCTACTTAAGAACAATGAAAAATATACAAGCCATTTTTGCACGACGACTTTTCAAACTGCACAATTTATGGTCCAACAAAAGCTGCTTTGTGCAATTCTAGTATTTCTATCAAAGTCAAACAGTAGATGTAATTTTTCAAGGATCCGAAACTTCTTCGACCTAGTGACCACCCAACAGTGAGAAAAATGTGAAGGCAAAAGCAATAAAATGCGTGCTTTACACAAAATTTTGATAAGAGGCCCAGGGGGCATCGGAAATTCTTCACTGAGGAGAGAAAGGGGGTAATTGAACAAAAAGGACAACTCTTGGAAAATTTTGGATAAAAAGGGCATTAAAAAGGGGAATATCTATAAAAAAAATGATAAGGCCAGGGTCTTTCTACATCCCAAGACATAGTGGGAAGGAAATTCCTAACAGCATAAAGTTATGTGAAAAATTGCTTAGTGCTTCATTTCAGATGTGTGAAGTTTTTAAGCGCCCAAGAATTACCTGGTGTAAAGGAAACGTGCTGCAATTATTTATGTGAAGAGAGTTGTGAAGCTTGTTTTCAGTGCACTCCTGAAAAATCTGATAGCTTATTTCATTAAGACAAAGGTAAGAAAGTTTCTGGACCCTTGTAATTTTTCAGTGTTAATTGAGCAATTTAGTACAGTAAAAACTTTTCTAGCATGCTAAAATGTAGTTTAAAAAATAAGAACATGACAATAAAAAAGTTATATGAAACGTAAGTAACCACAAAATTATTTTCCTCAGAAAAAAGGGCACTCATGGCCCCTGGCATAAGAGCTAAAAATTAAAAACTAATACGATCCTAAAACAGCCAAAAAATTTAAAAATAACAACCGGAGAATTGAGATATTACAAAGCAATCTAGTTGATTCATTTTGGTTAAAAAAAAAATGTCCCAAAATTTCAAATGGTAAAAAAAAGAACTTGCCTCCTTGCAGCTTAGACATGGTTGACATTTTCTTTTCCTGAACAGAGGCTAAGTCTTCCTTTAAATGTAGGAGTGGCCTGGAAAAAAAAGAAAATGGGCAATTAGAGCTGAAAAAATGTACTTTATGTCCTTTCGGTGATGAAGCTTGAGACCTTATCCCTCCCTTTTCTCCTCCTTTCAATATACGCTTGATAAACATCAATTTACACAAAGTTGAGTAGAAAAGTTGAGTTGAATTCTCATCTTTTCAAATGCAATTCAATTGCAAAGAAAAAACTATTAACAGAAGAACAATAACAGTGGCAACACCAAATACATGCAGCAGAAAATATTGATTTGCAAATGGCTTTGTAAAATGTCAATAAAAAAATTTAACAGAGGAAATTAGCTTAAAAAACAAGCAAAAAAAATTATAGGAATGAGAGAAAAAAAAATGATAATAACAATAACTTACAATCCTGCTTTTGGGCGAGAAACCGCATTCCTCTCTCGTTCTTTTGGGGGATCCTTGAATGAGCCCAGGTAATTTACTGATCTGAATACAAAAGCAAAAACGGGACATTGATTTGCAAGAGGCATGGAAATGAAGGCTGAGAGTTTTTTAACATTGTAAAAAAAGTTTATCATCATGATTCAAATGGAAAATTTGGACTAAATTTTGCAATTAGGAACATCAATTTCTGGCTCAGTTTAGAAACAATGTGTGTACCATTAGTTTACTTATGACCTAAGTGTTTTAATAGATGAGCCGGAAATTGTAATTCTTGGTTGTAAAAAAGTAGTTCATTTGATGCTGTTCATTAAAGAGTACTTCTACAGATGCAAAATCCAATTAATTAAAATTGACATCAATCATATGTTTGGATGTGACCAAGGTACATAATATGTTGTTAAGAAATGAATGTAATGGCTAGATAGGAGTGTAGACGATATTAATAGAATCCACTCAGTTGGCAAGCTGCAATTGGTGGCATGCACAGAGTTTCCATAATTTCTCTGCTAGGTATTCAGATTCCCTGACCTTTGACCTAAACTTCTGCTTCGATTTTTTTTCTTCTTTAAATTACACTGACTTCAGCTAAATGATGCTTGATAATTTCCTGGCTTATGCTGTGTAAATACCCTGATTTTCCAGGTCCCTGGAAACCCTGATGCAGAAGCCATTGAAAATGCCATTCAACTTAAAAACAACCTACAAGGTTTTCTTTCTCCTGCGATTATGCTCCTGGGATATGTAAATGCAATTCTTACTTATATCGTTAGTTGCATAATTCTTCAAAAATATCAAGAGTGAAAACATTTCATCTGCCCCGGACCATTATTAAAGCAAATCAACACTTAATCTTGCCCCAAACCCAGCCTTGATACAATTGAATTTATACCATGGGAGGTGTAAAACAAAGATAAAACTAGAAAAATTCTGAGAGATTGCAATGAAAATGGCACGTTTTTGTATCGGCCGATTCGGTGGTACAGAGTGACTGTCGGTGAATTAGAGTGATTTTATCGGGTCTCTTACCGGCGTGGGTGGTTTAATGCCACCGATAGCTCTAGATGCTGAGGATGACCTTTGAGAGGCTTTGTTCTCTGGAGTAGAATTCTTGAATTGATAAGAGTTGCTCCGTCTATGCTTCAACGGGCTGCGGTTGTGTTTGCTGTGAAAGAAAAAGAAAAGCCAATATTCAAAATTTTTGCAAGGAGGTTATTATAATGTGAGACGTATAAGATATTTTTTTTAAGGATACGTAGTATCACTACAGTAAGCACTAAAGCACCTTGTTGAGAGTTTCCATTTCAAATGACTTGGAGAATGATTTACACCATGGGAAGATTCGAAATCAACTCCTGAGCGAGATTTTAGCAAGTACATTTGGAAATAATGGTATGGAACACAAATTATACCAATGACTATATCAGTACTTTTGCTATATGACTTGAGATAATTATAAATGCTTTTGTCAACATCAGGAGTTGGATTTTTCAACTTCCCTTGGTACGAGTCATTTTTTGAATAACATCTTGAAGATGAAACATGCAGACGTGTGCTTCAGCTTATACCTGTCTTTGTGTGCCCAATTGTCATCCCCCTTAAAAAGCTTCTTGTCTGATTATTCATCGATTACTCTTCTTCTGTTATGAAACATGAAATAACTTACCTAGTTGTAGGTGAATTCTGCGCATTATTCTCTGCCAGAGGTTTTCTATTGCGTTTCGGCGTGGAAGACGCAGCTGGTTTTATTGATGACTTCTTAGCAGTTGAAGCTTTCTGAGTAGGTGAGTTCGCCTTCGTTGAACTATTATCTGTTGCAAAAAAAAAAAAAATAATAATAATAATCGGTTAGTATATTTCTTTACATAATATTCACTATGTTCGAATATTATCAGAGTTTTGAAGATACAAACTATTCCAATTTTTAAAAGAGCCACCTAAAAGCAGACTAGTAGTTGAAAAACTGCGGAAGATTTGAAAAGGAATTGGAAGACCTATTGCATTGTCCTCAAAAAAATTGGAATCTAAAGTTAGAAAACCAGACAAAACTATTTTAAACCTAAGCTTTCATTGATGTCTTTTGAAAAATATGATGTTAACCAATAGGTCAGTTGCGCTAGTTACAGTATCATGTTTTGAGTGTTTAAGCTTGGATCAGCAAAAAAAAACAAGCATGTAACGCCTAGCTTTTAAGTCCAATATGATACGGATATTGTTTTTTCAAAAACACTGGGTTGACATAATCCACCGTGGTAATACTACCATGGTTTCTTCCCCCAGTGATTTATCTAGGATTAGTTATTAAGGATCATTAAAGAACTAGAATACTAGAAAATGGCCAATTTCCACCTTCTGGCCCATGTTGAAAAAAAACATTTTTGTTAGTTTAAATTTACTGTTTCTCAGAGGCGTGGCGTGCTTTGCAATATATCGACTGTTCTGCCATTTAAACCTAAGAGAGAGGATTGATAGACAGGGTGTTTGCAACCAACACCTTAATAATTGATTCTTTGCCACCAGTTCAAGTGGGGAAATATCGACAATTCATCACTCACGTTTAACATTGCTGTTTCTTTATCAATCTGTCCGTCAAACCAGCTCTCAAAAACGAGCGCCACAACAGTCTCAGAATTTTTTTACTTATTACAGTTGACCATAAATTTTCAGAAATATTTGAGTTATTATATCTTAAGTGGATCCCCGTATTACATTAAAAGCACATCACATGTCACTTTTGAGCTTAACATGAAATCTGGGGTAGATAACTGAAAAAAAACACCTTTTCCTGGAATTCAGACTTTGGGCGTCCAATATAAGACTTAAAGAAATAAGTTTTACCGAGGCTACAATATTTTTAGAAGATAGACATAGGTAACTGCGGAATACAAAAAAAACTGTGAAATTCTGAGTGGGGGCAGATTTTGGCTCTCACCAATATCCATCTCTTATGCAAAAAATTCTGGAGAATTGGGCTGGCTGATTCAGGATCTACTATTAAAGCTGCTTTAGTAATGTTCGAAATTTAGACAATACCTTTCCCCCTTAGCATATTCTTCAAAGGAACCAGAGCTTTCATCGGTCCACGCCTTATTTTTTCTGGTTCTGGATTCTTCGGCCGCAATTTCGCATCCTCCAACTTAGAGATGGGCAAGGCTGGTTGCAGATTAATATTAAGTAATTTGGTAGATAGCTGCTTCAATGCTGAGTCAGAAATTGCACGATCAGCACTGCGGCTACGCTGCTTTACATGTGTTTCCTGGAATCAGTAAAAATTGTTGCAGGTTAAAATAGTTAAAAATGTATGGGATCAAATAGAATGCATGGAGGTTGCTCTTCCAGTATTTCTAACGTTTTTGACATATGTAAGAACTTCCTCTTCAAACGGTAATTAATTAAAAATATTTCTACAAAAATCAATTTAATAGGTTGACAAGAAGGAATTTTTTGCAGCCAAATATGGCCAAAAACTTCAAAAGGTACATTGATTCACAATCAGCTCTTCATTTTTGTCCTTGTAATTTAGAAATTTTATTTTATCATTCCCTCACTTTTTCTCATGAAATTCCCTGACTTTTTTATGATAACAAAAGGGTACTTAATTAATGTGGTCAAAACGTTGCTAAAAAAACGATCGGCTGGCCCGCTGTGAACCCAATTTTTACATGGAGCCCAGCTCCACAAAAAATTCCTTGACTTTTTCTGATTTTCTTGGTCGCTAGCCACCTTGTTTAACAGATGGAAGATGTATTTTTATGAAAGCAAGAATTACTGAAATTTCCATAACTTACTTTTGATTGGACCTCGGCACAAGGTACGCATTAAAGCAGTATGATATTAAACTTCCCACACATATTCTACTTGGTTTAATTCGCACATTAAGCATAACTGTCACCATCTCTGTCATTATGAAAATAGGGCAACCTCAGTCTCCACACTTCGGCATAGCTGTTGCACGCTATTAACGCTGCCAAAAGCACAGGGCAGGATAGGCAACACTGCTCAATTGAGAAGCGTGCCAAAACCATTACAGCACAGGAATTGATTAACATAAACGCTGGTTTTCCTTGTGGGTCGAAAATTCAAATTTTTCGTGACTAGTGCTAAATAAAAATGTTACTATCTTGGTCAGAAGTTAATGTCAGTAATTTTTTGCTGCATGAATCGTTTTCTGGGTTGAATTTTGAGGAGAGAATATGTAAAGGAATGCTTAAATTTGTACCTTGTCGAGTTATCTATTCTTTTATTTACCCCTCATGAGTGGCATGTTAATGAATATACAATAAATAATAAGTTAAGATAAAGGAAAGTTGATGAAAAAGTACCTTTTCTGGAGTTGGCTCTGCAGAGGAAAGAAGACTTAATCTTTTCTTATATTTCTGGAGCGACTCGGAATCCAACATTCTTTGTGGTGGAGTGGATATGCTGGCCGGGCGAATATTCAGTCTTAGGCTTTTGAAACTGTCATCAGAGCCGTCTCCATCAGAATCAGAATCTAGTGTTTCCCATTTTGGTTTGATTGACAAAAGATCCTCATTGTTATCTGCCGTCATAAATACATAAAATAAGAAAATAAAACCGAGCATTTTCAAAAAGAGAGAAGACCTAGATAGATTTTGAGGGACTTCAAAATGTGCGATGCACACTGTTAATAAGAGCCTTTCCTACAGTTTGTGCTGCGACATATTTTGTGTTGTAAAATTCAATTCACATTGACAATTCAGATTCTTTTGTATATGATTATGCCAAAAATTCGAATATCACAATGAGGCTATTGCATGGTTCAGGAGTCGATTTAATACCAAGTGATGCAGGCAAGGATTTTGGAGAGAAACGGATTTCCAAGCTTAGAATAGCTCAAAACAATTGTTTTTAACTGGAAAGAAAAAAAAGATTGAAAAAAGGTTGCAGTAATGAAAATAAATTTTTTTATTGGTCTAAGGCTAATGAGACGTTTGACTGAAGGTGAGTCAAGCCTAGACAACCACCGAAAGGGGGCACCACTTTGGGCAAAATCTGAAACAACGCAAAATACCCTTTTCTTTTAAGCTTGGCAGTCGCTGAGTGTATGTGTTCCGGCCAGCCCTGGCTAATAATTACATAGGATGCGATGATCTTGGGTTTCAACCACTGTGAATACTATGTGATAGAGCAGCCTATTGATTCAGAACTGATGATTTTCTCCAGAAACAACAGAAAGAATATTCAGTTCAGACAGCAATGATATTGAGAGCATGGTTGGGCTTCAAAATCTCTTGGTCCAGTAGCAACCGTAAAATAAATTAATATATGCGGATGAAAGTATACACAGCAGTCAATTCTCTTTGTAATTGTAATGTCAAGAGATATTTGGGGCAATATTTTTTCTTCTGAAACAGGGTTGCATTTTTCAGTGACCTGAAAAGAGATTTCCTCAGCAAAAATTTGATTAAATGAAAAACTGAAAAATATAAGTATCCCAACTTTTTAAGTACTTCCTGAAAACTTACCTAATAAATTTGCATAGTCTGTTGACCCAACTGAAAATGATCGACTTAATCGTGTTGCCTCGCGCAGGATTTCTACAGGTGGAGACCGGAATAGGGAACTGTTGACCTGGAAAATTTTTAAGAAAATTAGAATTAATTTGAAGATACATCTCCAATTTTCTTTCAATCACTGATGTACTAATGGGTAGTAAATCCTCAAAAGTACAATAACTTCTCTAACATGTGACCGTAAAATGGGGGAACCATGATGAGAATGAGGTAAACTAGGAAAGGTCTTCAGATTGTTTTGTATTCTTTTTTTTATCACATCTTCGCAGAGGAAAAATCTAATTTCCTGGAAGATACGTATTTTCTTCTTTTTTTTTGTTGTTAATTTAATCGTCTGTCGGAACTTGTCAAAATTACATTTTCATTCACATTGAACTTTACATTTTGAAAGCTTTACCTACCCAATATTTGATATTGATGGTGTAAGTCGGCAATCACATAACTTGGTTAGCGACGTCGCAGACTTCCTGTCATAATTTATTTTTTAAACAGAAAACTACCTAACAGCAATTCTTTAGAACTGCCAGGATTTTTCTTCTCCGTGCAGAGAAAATTCTGCATAAACTTCAAGGAACGATATTAATTTGTTCTCCTTCAAAAAATAACATAGAGGCTGAAATTTTTCGACACCGCAAACGAGATATGTGATTGCGGACTTATGCCATCGATACACTTCAAAATACCAAAAATGGACACATACAAGAAAAATGAACATTCAGAGGTGACATACCTTGTATTTTTCAGAGAGACTAGGTGCTTTCAAATCATCAGCGGCTGTTTCCGAAATTTCATTGAAAGTATTATCTGAAGTTAAACTTGCAGTTGTTTTTAAGAAACCTTGATTCATTGAACCATATGATTTACTTGAATAATCTGAGACAGCTCTTGTTTCATTTCTATCAGGAGAGCACCAACCATCAACGGTAGACACAGACTTTGCAGTGCTTCTACCTTTTGTTGTGAGATCCTTCTTTTGATCAAAGCCTGAGAAGGATTTGTTCAGTGTTTTCTTGATAACGTTCTGTATTCGAGCAGCGACAAACTCTTTGATATTCTGATCAGAGCTTAAGGAATCGCCTAGGAATACAGAGTTTTCACACTCGTTGTTGGAATTTGCTGAAATACAATGCAATGATGACAGAGCTGAGATATTTATACTTGTGCTGGATTTCTTTGAACTTAAATCGTCGGAGCCTTCAAGAGAATTGCCGTTGTTCTTGGAATAGCAAGTAACTTGCAATTGGTTTTGCGGCATAATTGGTGAGTAAAAAGAATCATTTTTTGAATCATTGCCACTATTAACATTTGATGGGACTAGATTTGAGGTTTTGCTATATTTTGGAGTTACGCCATTGGTGGTAGAGTTATTTTCATCAGAATCATCTAAAGATACAAGATCATAGCGGACTTCGATGTTGGTGTTTGTTGACTTATCTTCACTGAATGCTTTTTGCAAAACCATTTCAAATGGGTCTTGCTTTGTAAGCTCAGCGACAGCATCAAAGGGATTGTTGTCTGGATTAACCATGGTGCTTGGTGCAGGGATCAATGGTGGATTCTTATCAACTTTTTCAATAGCAGGTTTTTCCAGATCAATTAACGGGGTATCTTCCTCTGAAAAACACGACAAAAAGACAGAAAATTTAGAACTGACATCTAAAATTGTTTTAAGTAAGGTCTCATATTAAAAATAATCAGAGTTAGTCTTCGCATGTCAGACTACTTATTAGATAATTCATGAAACTTAGTTACATTCTCATAGCAAGGTAAGAATATGGAGATTATGGCAAACAAACTAGAGTTTGTACAGAAAATGTAATTGCATACTTCTAATTTGTAGATTTAGTAAAAGTATAATCATTCGTTCAATAGTAAAAACTAGAACGTCTAACTTCAAAATAAAAGTTCTAAAACATGGGGAGAAAAGTATAGCAATCTAAAAAGTTTTCAAATGAACCGTCTCGGTATTTAAGTCATGCCAACATTCCGTGTTGTTCTTAATAACTGAGTAACCTGCAGTTCCAAACAAGAGAAAATTATTTCTCTCCCTGTTTCTTAACTGTGTTTTCGTCCAACTTTAACTAAAAAATTGCATGATAGATAGGCATATTTTTTTTAAAACTCTAGAAGATACGAAGTTCTCATGTTTTTTTCAAGTGTATGTTAATCAAAAGACATATTGCCCCCTGAGATTGGATTTTAGGTAAGTGAAGATAGTTATGCAAGGCGGCTCTGAGAGTAGAGAAGATAAATTATTCTTGAACATGAACTAAAGGTCACTCCCACATCTTACTATTCGTTATTAATGAAAGTAAGACTCAGGTCAGTCATTTCTGTAGACAAGGTTTGAGACCTTGGCAGAGGGAAGTTTAAATGCAATGCCTTTCTTATGGGGGAACCAATTTTACATCAAACTGGTTGGGGCCGAGTGATGGTCAGGCAGGGGAGTGCATCTCAAAAACATGCGCAGTGACTGACTTGTGTGGCTCAGTCTTAGATAAAAGCAATACAGTTAACTTCCTCTGAATTAAACTCTTTTAGGGATTTGTCCAATTTTTCATAAGAACAGAAAATCCTCTAAGAGGAACTAACAATCTGGACCCAATGCAGTTCGACTCAGAGAAAGCTTACTGGACCACATTAAGCAGAAAGGAATCAAATCACATCAGCTATTGCCAAATTCAATCGGGCAATGTAATTTTTTACATGAAAACCGTTGTGCGGTTTTTTGTGCAAATTTCAGTTAATTTTCTGCATATTACCAAGCAAATTTCTTAAAATTTTCAAAGGGACTCGAACAAACATTCTCTTGTAAAAAATTAGATTGCTCAGTTAAATTTGGCAGTAGCTGATGTGGCTTGGTTCCTTTCTATTAAACACGCATCCATTTGGGTCCAACTGTGACAGATTTTATTGCGCTTCATGAAGAGAATCTGTGATGGAGTCTTCGTAATAAAATTGTTTATAGACCACAATGTGTTTGTGCTGCAATAATCTCATGAGGCAGCAGTATAGTAGAAACAATGAGGCTGAGACTTCTTTTTGAAGTCTTCTTTCGAAAAACAATTTCTGTTTGAAAGTTAGATTTAGTCCATTAAACAAAAATCTAGGTACACCCTTAAAATCATCTATGTAGTAAAAGTCTTCTGCATACAATTTTTCAAGGGAAGAAAAATAATTCCTAAACTGTCAAGTACTTGACTTGGTGCATCTCTGTAAATTTTATATACAAGCAAATACTGGATTTTAAGGTAATGAGAACTATGAACAAAGAAGACTAATGCTGTAGTAGAGCCTTCTTTGACTTAGATAAAACTTATTATAATGAAAACAACATATAGTGGGAGTTACCTGGGTTACGGGAGCACTTATTAGAAACATCCATTATCAGATCCTTTTTCCCAGCACGATGGAATGCTATGGTTTTCCACAAGAGTCTGAAAGGAAGAAAGAATAGGATTGATTGAATTATTTTTCTTTCTTACTTTTACTTCTTGAGAAGTTTGATTTTTTCTTTTAGTAGGTAGATTAAAAAATGGAGGGGTTATTAATACTACAATTTGGTGTTGGTCAAATTTTCATTCCTGCTATACATGACATTCTAACTGTTGGACTTTATGGGCCTCATAAACTTAGCCATGTCAGTGTCAAGAAAGAAGTAGAGTAGACGAGGAACTTTTCATGACATTGACTTTTGTTGGAGAATGCTGTACAGCACTACTGTTGAGCCAACATCTGGATGGTTTCTGCCTTTTTCTCACTGCACAGACACACTGCATAATTATGAGTTTTTCTTTGATCCATGGAATGCAATGCATTCGGTCCTCTACATTTCAGCTGAGGCTAGGATTGCACGTAAGCACTCGCAACCCACCTCAGGAGACAGGTGACAGATCTGATCATTTCACTGAAATGCAAGAAACAGACTGGACCATGCCAGTGAATCAGGATAAATGATAAAATAGTGATGTGTTTCATCGCATTCCATTTCAATTCGCTGAGGTTCGGATAAAAAAGAAGCACTCATGAAACAAAAACCTAACTTGATGAGAAGTGAGAGATGAACTCGCAGATTAGGGGCTGAATAGAGAATAAGGATAATTTCAGCGACACTTGATGAGATGTTATGAAAAAAGTCTATTTCTCTCTTGGGGATAAGTAGAACTGGGGAAATAAAAGAAGAGACATATGTCACATCAGAGAACAACACCATTCAGCATAAATTTAAGTGGTAACTGATGAGCCAACTGATGATAGATGCATTTAGGTTGATGTGACAAATGTCTCTTCTTTTCTTTCCCGAGTTCGACTTGGTACATGATTCAGATGGCACAATAGATAAATATCGACCACGAGAGGATTTGACTTCAGTTGAACTTACAAACCGCAGATAACTGGAAGATAATGTAAGAAATGAGGACCAGCATTAAAGCTCAATGATACAGACAAAGACCATAGGCAACCTATGATTGTTTTGCTAGGGATATTAAGAAAGATTTGCCGAGAGTGTAGGTCAGCTGTGCAGAGAAATTGGGCATTCACTTAAATAAAAACAATAATTTAAAGCGGTAACGGGTATTCTATGCACAACGAATCCAACCTCTATTAATAGCAAATGGATGCAAGAAAGTAATTTCACTTTAGTAAAGAAAAATGGGACGTTTCAAAGCAGCATTACTGTCGAGGAAAAGTTGAGTTCGAAGATCTGAACCATTGCGATAATGAATACTGTCTGCATGGCATTTTTTGGTCGACAGATGCAAGTGACAAGAATTTTACTGGTAATCAAGAGAGAGAGAGGAGAATGATGAGTAGAAAATTTGTTTTTATTTGAGAGTGAGCATGGGCACACAAGATCAGTGTGCCTGTGCTGAGCGTAGACCAAAATTGGAACTGTCAAAAAATGAAGAACACGACGAAAGAGAAGAGAGTCAATGGTAATTTTGAAACTTACGGCTTTGTACTCTAGTTGGAAAACTTCGGTGGCATAAATTACTTCTTCCAAAATTTTAAAACGAGGGGCAGCTTATCAAAGATTAGTCGATGTCGATGACCGTTTCGGTTTGAATTGAAAAACAGAAGGAAATTCAAGGTTAAAAATGTTTTCATGTAGATAGTAGCAACTGCGCTGCGCAGAAGGCGTAAATTGAGCCTCTGCGCATGCCTCTCAGAACGTAAATAAACAATTGAAGAACGATGTTTTTGTCACGGAGCAGTGGAGCAATCATTCCTTCGGGCATTTGCATGAAATTGTGGATAATTATTCATTGAAGTTATACTTTAATTACAATTTTAAGTGTCTTTAAATTTATCACATGGTGGGCTTTTTTACATTACAATCAGATTCTGCCTGAAACGCCCTTATATTTCTTTAGCCTCGTGATTGGCAAGTGTGCAACTCTTGAGTGCAACAGGTGGTTGGTCGTATCTTCAACAACTTTTAGCAATACATCTCTTTAGTCTTTAAAATTGATAAGGTATATTCTAATTATTACTTATTCATGAAATTGAACCCTAGCTTTTTTGACTTACCTTTGACAATTGAATTAAGTATGTCATCATCGTAATGGATCAGTCTTACCTCCCGGATATCATTGGAACTCTCTGTGCAATTTTCAGTGTTGCACTCATCATACTAATTTTGGTCTACCGATATAAGTTTTTCAAGCACACAACGCACCAGTATATTCAGAAATTAGGATGTAAGAAAACTAGGTGAGTGTAATAACTTATCATAAGTTTAGTACATTTAATATCCATGCGGATCATGTGAGAGTGAAACCTAAAGCCTGAATTTAAGGGCCAAGGAAGCTGCCCCTTTTTTGCGCATTGTATTTTGGGACATGGTATCTAAAATTTTAAAATGATTACAAAGTAGACAGTCGTTTAAGTTCGGCTATTATCTGTCATAAATAGCTCATTGGACAAGCACCCAAGTAAGAGCTGTCATCATAAATTCAAATGGTAGGGATCGTCATAGAGAAGAAAAGAGCTGGAATTTAAATTGCGGGCCGAGTGGCTCTGATTGGCTGATCTGCCTGGTGCCCACTTTCTGGAGCCCTTATGGAATATATCAAAGGGTTAATTTTCCATGGAAAACATTTCAAAAAGAAGGAAAAACTTATTTTTTGTAGATTTCAGAAATCAGCTCTCCAGGTTATTATGACGAGATTCATGGGTAATAGGTAGGTAATACATGACACTTTTTTCTCAAACACACTGAACAGCTCGACCTGGAATTTTGTTCTCTCAACTTTAAATATGACACTTGGTGTCATGTAAAAACAAAATTCCAGGTCGAACTGTTCAGTGTGTTTGAGAAAAAAGTGTCATGTACCTAACTCATGAATCTCTTCATAATAACCTGGAGAATTGATTTCTGAAATCTACAAAAATTAAATTTTTCCTTGTTTTTGAGATGTTTTCCATGGAAAATGAACCCTGTGATATATTCTCTAAGGGCTCCAGAAAGTGGGCACCAGGCGGATTAGCCAATCAAATTTTGAATCTCCAAAATTGATTTTTGAAGAATCTAATTTTTGTAGTGGATTATTCAATCATATATCTATTTTTTTAATTTTTTTAATTTATTTATTTATTTATTTATTTATTTATTTTTTTTTTTTTTTTGAAATTTGTTACCTCCTTTTATACCATTCTCACCTCCATCATGCTGTATTCTTTCAGGCTAAGTGTTCATCTGATTGATTCTGGTGAAGTTGAACTTGGTGAAGTTTGTATTCATCCAGAAATAGAGCAAATTCTAGCAGACGATAAATGGATTGGCGATGCAACTGGTCTCATCCCACACTGTCTTGCTGTTTTAAAGACATGCCATCTACTCACCAACAAAATTGCAATGCTGAGCATGTCCGACATCAACTGTCAAAACTCAAAACACGCAAGCCACGAAATTGTTCAAGTGAGTGTATCTCCTATTATTCTATTACAGAAAGTCAAGAAATTTTAATGATTAAGTTTAGGCACCATATTAACATCTACATAAGTATTAGTTAAATTGTTTGAACAAACCAAAGATGCTGGAAAATTTAATTAAATAAAAATTAAAAAATGTTAATGACACAGGGAATAGTCATGAAAAAATATTTCCTTCAATTTATGGCAACTAAAGAGTACCTAAAATCTTTTGCTTTATTTCATCAGTCATGCAGTAAGAATCAAACTGCAGTTTCATCATTAATGCTTTCAAAGAAAAACAAATTTCCGGAACAGATGGGTGTGGACTACATTTTGCACATTACTGCAGTGCACTCCTCCATTTTTTATCTACTTATCTGTGACGGAGTTTTTAGTTTTCAAATTGCTTTCTCGTGAATTCATCATACTAGTTTCACGTCAAAAGTGTATAAACATTAAACAACTATCTATGTTAAAGAGAAGAATTTTTTTGTACATACAGATTGCGCGTAAAATCACTCCTCGAGCTGACGATGTAGTGCGGAGTATGTATCCACCCCTGGATGTTTGTCTTTTAGAAGCCAGAGTTGCTGCTCTGATTTTAGCTGTCACTCATCTCGCATTGGTGTCCAAGCATGAGCTCTTCAAGAATAAATCGAAGCTATCATGGATTGATGAGGCATTGACAGAGATGAATTCTCACTCCTTGGTAAGAGTCAAGAATTCATGAACAAATTGACAAAAATAATAGGATAACCCCCCTGCTCGAACTCTTTCATTGATCATTGCTGCCCTGGGGTCATTCAACCTTTCTCTTATTTGATGAAAAAAGCGTGAAGAGTTCAATGTACAATTGGAGGATCTGAGAACCGAGGCCCTCTATGTTACATTCAAGTTATTTTTAGCGAAAGTCGCCCACCTGTCCTTATATCTTTACACGAGAAGACTTCTTTACAGAAATTCAGGGCCAAGATTAATTAAATCTTTTTCATATTAGGTTCCTCAAACCCTTCTTGATATGAATTTAACTAGAATTCTCTATACCAAAGGTATTGCCCCAGGATATGATACCCCCATTTGTTGTTTTATTTTCAAAGGACCCCAAAATTATGGGTGCATACGATAAGCGGGTAAATATGATAATTTTTCAACTCTTCCATCTATGTACACTGATGAAAATGATGAAGCTTTGTTGAAGTGAAGGTCAAATAGTGGTATTTTTACATTGTTCCAAGATGAATAGACAAATACTATGTCCCTTCAAATCTTGAATATTCACCTTCCCAGCACAGCAGCAGTGCCATCACTCCATACTTGAAATAGAAGTGCCAAATATTTTACATTTAAGTGCCAATTTTCTCAAAGCTGGCACGTAAAAAGTTCCCGTTTTGAAATGTTTCTTTCAGGAGGTTTTAGAGGATACAATATTTATAAGTAACAAAAAATGGGGTTTGCATTTCTTTGATTTTTTGACCTTTATCCTTCCGGTGTAAATGTCAAGTGAAAGGATACCCACTGCCTTAAAATAATGCATGCATTGCTGGGCCTTTTGTAGGAAAATGGAACTCTTGAAAGTGGCTTTCTTTATTTTTGTGGGGCACATAATCTTCTGTGGAACATGATTTGGATTTTCCATTATTTTAATAATATTCGAGAGTCTAACGAACGGATTTTGATCATTGAATGAGGAACTGATGTTTTTTTAAATATCATTTTTCTCACTAACATTACTGTAAGTACATTTTCTCACAGTCTCATTTTTTTCATTCTGCTCCGTTTGGTAACCCAGCTGTTACACATCTTTCTAGCCGCACTTTTCTTTTTGATAAGTTACATGGTTAACTTAAGTTTCAAGCTTATCTTATTTCGACTTTTCAGGTGCTCCGAGAGGCAGCTCTGGCACAAGAAGCCAAAAATAGGATCCAGCATCTGATGCCTCTAGCTGATTTACTCCAATCTTAGAGAAACCTGCATGACTAATAAGATACATGGTTTACATTGTATTGTAAAACACTATTAGGTATTTGATTATCGACAGAAAGTCCATTATGTAGCACTTAAAAGGAATGCCTGACTCGGGCTTGAGGAAGAAAAAATGTGCAGAATGACATTCCCACCAAAAAAACTCCTCCCGGACATGTTTGACCTCTCTAGCACTACAATCCTCTGTTTTAACTCAGTCCAGACCATGACCTTATACATATCAGTTAAATTGGCATGCCAAAATAGCCAGACCGTTCCTCTAGTTTTTTAGTCTGAAAAGATTTAAGTTTAGAATGATAGTTTTACAAGCTATATTGTTACTAGTTTACTATGTTTTACTTCATATCTTTCTATTATTTAGTTTTGTCCTTCTTTTTTTAAAAATAAGTTATATTTTAAAAATATATATTTCTGTATTTACATTGTTGGAGAACTTTTTTTTTTCAAGGATGGACTTATTGAAAAGGAAAATATCGAAACCGTGTACTTCCATTTCAGACATTGCAGATTTCTGGTCACATTTTACTTTTTGGAAGGATGAATAATCCTAGTTATTGGATAAAATTTTGGGTAGTTTCTCTTCGCCGTTTCAGAATATTCAAAGAAAATTTTACAAAGTATTCTTCTGAAAAATTATTTGAAATAATTGGTAAAATTATTTGAAAAAAATGAAGAAACTAAGAAAAACTGACAGAAATTTTGAAACACTGCGATCAAGATCCAGGTTTTTTTAGTTTCACCATCTATAAGTGTCCACCTCAATCTTTGTTCTATCTTTCTTTCACAACACTTCATGGTGGAATGTCATCCTTCTTAATGTAAATCAAAATAGAAGTACATACATTGAAAATTATTATAGCTGAACTTGACCTGGATGAATATTTTCAAGATGCAAGGTATCCCAGTGAAGAGACTACTGTAACTAGGGTATACACCATTGCCAAATTATGCTGAAAATTAGCATTATCCCCATGAGACTCTGTAAAAATGCTGATTTGTCAGCACAATTTTGCAAATGCGTTTATAACTAACTATCCTCCATTATTCCTAGCTGTTTACGTTAGAGATCAAAGTTTCTCAAGGAAGGCAAGGGACATGAGTAGGGAAATTCCTGGAGACTCTTCAAAGTATGAGTGAATACCTTGAAGAACGCATGAGAGTGTTGTCTATCAAAATTTTGAACAAACGATACATCATTTGAGTAAAGTAACTTTATTAGTAAAAAATATACACTAGTCACAGGAAATTCTCTCAAGCTGACCCCTCATTAGAATAGAGGGGCTAGCAAAAGTAAAAGGTCACAGCTCAGCTGTTTTGCGATAGAAACTGAAAATAAGAGTGCGGTTTGAAATAAATAATGATACATTAAAAAAATAAACAAATAAAAGGTACTATAAATTAAAGAATAAACAGGAAAGACAGAGAGTTACTTTACACATTTTTATATAAAAAAAGATTATTCAGCAGAGTACATAGGCATCAGTGTTGCGCAGTGACCAATGATAATTATAAAAGAAGGGCAACAATACCCCCTCAAAATCTGTGCTTTTGTCGACATCTAAACTGAGCTGTCAGATTTTATGGAGAGCACATTAATGAAATCATCCAAAAAGGATGATAAATTCAACAACTCAGCCCAGTGAAACAAAAATATTCATGCATGGCCAGCTGAAAGGATAGGACACAGGGAAGCGTTCTGAGAGATACCGGGGACAGGAAATGAGTAAACTTGTATCGATAATTAAATCCTTACTTCAGTAGTTAACAATTTTAAATTTTCAGTGATTCTTCTCTCCATAGACAAGCTCCTGCAAAACAGCTCGGTGCTGCCAAATGTTGACTTCTGTAACTAGAGGGGTATTTGTCGTATTCACTTCTTTCTGCTTCGTGCTTTTTCTGCAGCAGCGTTTTTCTCGTTGTTCTTGAAAATTTTCTCTTTCAAATGCTGCTTGTAAGCTAAGATGTCACCCTGCCATTTCGTGACAGTGCCATTCTCACAGACCCAAATCTCTTCAGCAACCTGCAAAACACGCAGTAATTATTTACAAGTTATATAGAAACATAACACATGACACTTTTTTTTCTTATTCCCATTTAAAGTCTGATTATCACATTGTGATCTTAGATTTTTATACGGCAATTCTTGGGTTGGAAGTTGATTCTCATATATAAATCCACATTCACCACAGAGGGAGCGTCAAGAGAAAATTAAGCTCAACTTAATTTTTCAGTCAGAATTTTTGTGATTCTAACCTAACCTAGCAGAGGATTATTTATGTTGGCCAGTGAGATTTGACCTTTCATCACTTAAGATGATTTCATGATTTTTTTAATCATTTCGTTATGGAGAAAAGTAATGTCACTGAATTTATTCTGGTGTCAATGAATAAATTAATGGATCATCAAAGTTGTAATGATGAGGAGATGAATATTGTAACAGATTTTACCTGGCTAATGAGTCGGAAATCGTGACTAACAAGGACCATGCCTCCTTCAAAATCATTGATGGCATCTGCCAGCGCATCGATGGTTTCCATGTCCAAGTGGTTAGTAGGCTCATCCAGAAGTAGAAGGTGAGGTGCTTGCCATGCAAGGTATGCAAAAACAACACGGCACTTTTGACCATCACTCAGTTGTCTAATAGGGCAGACCTACCACAGACAAAGAAATATTGAATTGAACTTTCTGTTTCATGTAAAAGGTAGCTTAAAATTGAGATGACTCAAAGCACTCAAATATTTTCATTTTTTGGGGGGAAATGCATGTTAAAAATACCAGCTTAATTCGGCTTGAATAACCCCCCCCCCCCCCCCCCNAACCTTACAAGCCCCTGGAAGAGAATTAGTCAAATTAATCCAGCATAAAAAAATTTACTATCAGCATATGTATAAAAAAAAATTTGTAAAAAGTCAAGCTCAGTTATGGTATTTGCACACACAGGTGCAAACATTTCTTGACCACACAACCAGGAGGATTGCAAGCAAAAAAGAGAAGGCCCCCCAAAACAGGTCATGAAAATGGGCAGGCCGGCGAAATCACGTTTAATGTTGCAACACAGTAAAGAAAACCATGTGTTTTGTCCAAGAACACAGCTATTTACGCGTACAGGGCCAAACAAAAGTCATAACTTCAATGTTTCAGAGAAAAAACGGTTTTAAATCAAAATTAAAAATTGGAAGGTAAAGAATTTCATGTATACCTGTTTGTACAAATTGAGAAGAGTTAACAAAATGCAATTACCTGTTGCCTTCCAGTAAGCCCGTATCGACCAATGATTTTCCTCATTTCTTCTCTTTCCTTGACATCTGGGAACGATTTCATCATGTATTCTAGGGGAGAAAGATCTAAGTCTAGGAGCTCGTGCAGATGCTGATGGTACTGGGCAAATCGTAAATGCGAGTTTTTCCGTATCATTCCTTCCGTTGGAACTAGCTGTTGAGAACATTTAAAAAAACTAATGGAGACACTTCATCGGCAAAAATCAACAATTTGCTGTCAGGTATTTAATGAAGAAACTAATCTATTATCAAAAGGGATAAATGCAATACAAATTTATAAATCACCGGATGAATGTATTGAGTTGAGGGAGATAAGGACTAATTACATAAAATGATCTAAGAAATACATTTTGAGAGAAATCGCTTTTGATTATCACTACAACTCTACTGTCCAAATCAAGAATGCTGTAACTCCGCTCTCCATTCACTGATTTCTTCACTGACAAAATTTTTTTTTAACTTTTTACAAGGAAACCAGCAAAAAAGTATTGTATATTACAAGACCAATCCACATAGGTAGGTCACTGCATATTGTTTTAATCTATTGAGCACATCATCAAAGGCTTTTATTTCCCCAGTTTTTGCTCATTTTAAGGTGCTGTTTAAGTTTAATATTTTTATTTTGAATTTCTGATTCCCTCTTGTACACTTCCCATCTTTTTTTTTTTTCTCCTTGTCAGTGGAATTCTTTCCCGCGTAATACGTAAATAAAAAATAAATAAATGGATAGATAATTTGATAAATTAGAAAATGAAAAATTTAGAATGGAGTTGGGCAGCAGTTGGTAAAAAGGTAGACTCCTAAGGTCTACTAAACTATGATATCAGTGTTATAATGTCTAGTAAATCATGTAACTGCAATTTCTGAAATTTTGGGATAATTTTGTACGTGTATCAAAATCCGTCCAATAACTAATAGCACAGCTAAATCAGGCTACTTAAATAATAATGTTAATAATAACCATACAATGGTAAAATCGGTAGACTAATGATGGTTTTTAATTAAAAGTAAAAGATGAGTCGTAAATGAGTTACAAGATCTTCAACCTTCCTAGTCCAAGTGACTGTTAGTGTTTGTTATTCACTCCAGCATATGTTCATCAAACTGCACTATGGTCTGCACCACGAAAAGTGGCACAGGCGATACGCAGTAAGAACATTATAATATCAGGGTTTAAAACTATTTTATTCCATAGTCATTACAGTTCATAGGTTTTTTATGCCATGATTACTTAGATTTGAAGGAGCACAGGTAAAAACAGATTGGTAGGGTACACGCTGAACACTTTTTATAAAATGTAAGGAGGTTCAAACTAGAGAAGGAAACTTACATCTCCATAAAGTAGTTTTAAAAGAGTACTCTTTCCGGCTCCATTTGGGCCTACAAGAGCTAACCGGGTGTCTAAATCAATTCCAAACTCAAGGTTCTTGTAGATATACGGCGAATCGTCTGAATATCTGAAAGACACATTCTGCACCATAATGACAGGGGGAGGGATTGTTCCGCATGATGGAAAGTAGAACGTCAGTAGTTTATCATTGGTGACTTTTTCTGTTAGACCTTGCGCCACCATCTTGGCCAGGGTTTTCTCTTTACTCTGGGCTTGACGGGCCAACTTGGCACTTCCGTGACCAAATCTTGCTATGTAGTTCTTCATGTGGGCAATTTGGTCTTGCTCCCAGTTGTACTGTTTCATTTGGTTTTCTAACAGTTCCATTCTAGTTCGAACAAATGCATCATAGTTACCCTGAAATCAAAATTAAGTGTGTTGTGAGAGAGGCTCAAATGCATTTGAAGTTTTTACATTAATTTTGTCCATCTTGAGGCATTGATCAATTGATGGTTCTTACATTTGAGGTGTGAATAATAAAATGTGCTTTCACTTCAAACATATGAGAAGGAAATTTAAAGAATACATATCTTAGGTATCATAAAAATAACGATTTTAACACCACAAGTTTTTTGGATTCATTTGGTCCATAATTAGGGCATTCACCAACTACCTGCTATTACACATAATTAAAACACAATAACATGTTTTACATGACACTAAACGTACTTACATAATTTTTTCATTTTGGCACTAGCCTGAAATTTTGGATCTACACAATGTACACTCCCTAGTTCTCTCTTTTAAAAAAAAGGGGGGGGGGAATAATGGAAAAAAGAAAATAAAATTTTGCTGAGCTACTTACGGTGTAGTTTTTCAGCCGTTGCTTGTCTAAATGAATTGTGTTTGTACAAACTCCGTTGAGGAAATCTTGTGAATGCGATATTATGACAAGAATACGTTTGTACGTTTTCAGTTCCTCCTCTAACCACACACAAGCATCTAAATCTAAGTGATTAGTCGGTTCGTCAAGAAGGAGTAGATGGGGCTTCACATACAATGCTCTGGCAAGAGCAATTCTCATGCGCCAACCACCTGAGAACAAAATATAAGTGTTAAAACTCTACCTGTGAAGTAATGAGCTGAAAACATTGGAAGCATACTTGGGGGCAGAATACTTCAAGCTTCCACATTTTCACGTCCCCGCAGGCCAGCTTTTCACAAAATTCCCCACCAATCTAAAAAAAGATGACCTTCCCCTTCTGTTTTCTTTTGATATTCGACTTTAGACCCTTCTAGATGTTCCCTCCTTCCAAATTTCTGGGGACTTTTCCACATTTTCACTTGTCCGCCCGGATGCGTGATCGAGCATTTTCTGCACTCTTGCTAGGGTGGTCTGCATTTGTTCCCAAACCGAATTAAAACGCAACTTCTACAAATGGGCTCTACTTTACATGAAGTATGAAGTCAAACTAGTTGAGGGATGGCTCTCACAATTCATTGAATTTGCTGAAGCTTCTCCTTCAGGGTTGTGTATACAAGCACATTAAAACAGTAATAAAGTTAGTATCCTATTGCACGTAGATCTCTTGGAGATGGTATATTTTAGAATTTTACCTCTTTTTAAAAAGATTAAGAATTTTTTTTTTTTTTGGAAGTTACTTCATACATATTTTTTTCAAAAGAGCATTAAAAATCTCAACAGTAATCATAATGATCAATATCAATAGCTCTACCTCTGATCCATTAACTGGGTAACTTATTTTATGCATAAAAAAAGTTATCTGTAAAAACAGGGGAAGTGATCTTTTTTGAAAATCACTGTATCTCCTTGACATTTCCTTCAAATATGAATTTCTAAAGCTCATCTTCAGGATTAGTTCTATAATACATTTTTTAAAAAATCCTATTTGCTGCATGGATATCAAAGTGCACAGCTTTGAAAACTTTGAACAGGATTTTTTCAAAATTTCATTTCAAGATTGGGCGTTTAAGCACCCCTGCGCCCCTAAAGCGAATTTTATTTGAAGTCCCGAACATCTTTGGGAAGTTCTGTCCCGGTTGGTCTCATCAATCACCAAAACCAGTGGACAGCTTTGTTATCAGATTCGACCAATCAGATCCGTTGGTTTTCGATAGGTCGAACCTTTTTCAGAACCACCGTGTAAGGTAGTACCAAAATCACGCACCAATGTTGCGAATTGTTAGTCACCGAATCAGAAGTTCCAAACTCAAATAGAATGGTAGCTTGAAGGTTCGGGCACAAAAGGAGTACCGAACCTCTGAATAAAATTCACTCCTACAGTACAACTGCTACTACTAGTGATAAATCTCTTGTTTTTGCTGAGAGGACAGGAATGAATTCTGATCTTGAAAAAAAACAATGGCTCTCTGTTTTGCTTGTATATTTTGGGTTGCTGTAGACTGCTATGAAAAATCTTGAAAATTGGAACATATCAGGTATTAACAAACAAAAGAAATCCACCAATGTCTGATAAAATGCAAAAATACTGTACCAGAGAAATCTTTTGTTTTCTTTAATTGCATTTCTCGGGTGAAACCTAAACCGTTGAGAATATTGGCAGCTCTTGCTTCAGCAGTGTCAGCATTCATGTCGTCTAACCTCTCGTAAACATCCATCAGTTGTTCTTGAGACTCTGTTCCGAATCAGAGAAGAAAATAAATTTAGTAAACTTATCATCAAAATTAATTTGTGCAAACAATCAGAAGAGGAGAAACTTCAAAGTAAAAAAGATAGTATGTAAAGAAATGTAAAGTTTTTAGAAATTCTTGAAAACAACCTTTGAACCATAAAAAATGGATCAGGGGTGCAAAACTTCCACGACCAAACGACCAATCAAGTCGCAGTTGGTGGCACAAAAAAATGTGAAGGCAACCAAAAAGGGGTTTTTTTAAATGTGAAGGCACCTAAAAAGTGAAGAAAATGTAAAGGCAGCGCCACTTTTTGTGAGTGAAACTATGCTAAATTACTTTCAGTGAAGGAAACTGTGAACTGTGTGTTTTACGGGAAAAAAATAGAGAAGGGACTGCAAAAATACTGTACCAGAGAAATCTTTTGTTTTCTTTAATTGCATTTCTCGGGTGAAACTTAAACCGTCTGCACTGTCTCATGAGGACAGTAATGGGTCAGTTGCGCTGGTCAAAAAATCGTGTTTTGATGCTTGATTCTCGTAGATTAGCAAAAAATAATAAGATCTGTCCAAACCACAACTTTCTAAGTTCAATATTAAACGAGATATCGCCCTTTGAAAAGTCAGGTTTTTGACGTTATTCACCGCGGCAGTGAAACCCTTGGTTTCTTCCTCTTTTGTTCGATCAGTGATGCAGAGGAAGCGACGCAAAACTTCAGCGATGTTAAAAAAGAACAAACTTAAGAAACAGACGGATTTGCACTTTAAAGATCTTCTTATGAGAAGATAATGCACTCGCCGCGAAGAGATAAGGCGGTCAGTCAGTTAACCTCAGTTTGTTTACATTCAACGTCGCTGAAGTTTCACATTGCACGCTCTGCATCACTGATCAAACAAAAGAGGAAGAAACGGAGGATGTGACTGCTGCGGTGGATGATGTCAAAAACCTGACTTTTCAAAGGGCAATATCTTGGTTGATAATGAACGAAGAAAGTTGCTGTTTAGACAGATCTTATTATTTTTAGCTGATCTACAGGAGTTAAGCATCAACTATTATGCTTCAAAAATTTATCATAAATGTATCTAATCTATCATAAACTATCAAAAATTTATCATAAATTTTTGTAAAAACTATGATCTTACACGTATTCTGCTAGAAAGAGGCAACTTCAGAAATAGATTATTGGATTCTAGAATTCAACAATAAAACCCTCTTTTCCTTACCATCATCCTCATTCATAACCAGAGTTTCAGCTAACTTTTCCAGCCTTACTCTCTCTTCGTCAACTTCCATGACGCACTGAAGAGCACTTTTATCAGACGCCGGCATCTCTCTTGAAAGGTGGAAAATATCAATGTGGTCAGGGATTGGAACTTCCCGGTTACCAACAACTGCAAGCAGGGTTGATTTGCCTGAAAATGATAAGATAATTGAAAAGGCATTATGAAAACGTTCATACTATGGAGTTTCTCAGACTGACTGTGAACAGTCAACATTCCTTTCCCTCAACCAATTGTCTTAATTCATCCATTCTCATCAGAGTTCTGTCTCTTCTTCATAAGCCAAATGCGCCTAAAAAAAGGGGGNGGGGGGGGCGCTGAGCCTAGAAAAATTGACGCACCCTGTCAATTTTCTTTAAGCTCTCACTTGCAAAGCAGAAGCAAAGTTCTTGACGCACTGTTTGTAGTGCAACCCTGCAACAAGAAGGTTCGACAATGGGAGAGAGACACGGAGCAAAAAAATATTGTGCCCCATGATGTGAATGCAAAAAGTTAATTTGGCTCCTAAACTATTGTAAATGGCTCATAAAAATTAGGATTTCTGGCCGAGGTTGCTTCTAAAATTTTAGAGGGAAGGTAGAGCACTGTTTATTTGTTTATATTACTCATTTATTTTCAAAAGAAATTTCAGACAAACATTTTTTTCACATTTTAGACAAAAAATTAATGAAAAGATTTTTAAATTCTTCAAAAGGACAAAGAAGAAGGAATTACAGTTGAGAAAATTGAATTATTCAAAGTTAAGAAGAAAATGGTTGTTCAATTCAAAACATCTTACCTGAACCATTGAGTCCAAGAAGACCGTATCGCCTACCACAGTTCAACTCAAGAACAGTATCCTGAATCAGTTCACAACCATGAAACGTAACAGAGAAATTTTCGATTTTAATATCACGAGACCTTGGATGAACTGCTAGGGAACCTGTGCAAGACCTAGCCTCAGCATTCAACCTGGCATCCATTTCCAGCTTCAAACACAATGCCTCTGAAACAGAAAGATAGGTACATTAAAGAACACGCAATGAAAACCTCACAAAAAATGACAGATTATTTTAAAAATTAAATATCTGGTTGACGTATACGAGAGATAATGGGCGCTGAAGGAACAATTGTGCATGATATCATGACCAAGCAATTGGTATGGTATGGGCATGTGCAGAGAATGGCTGATACCAGGTTGCTCAAGACGGTGTTGGAGTGGGTCCCTCCTGGTAGGCGATGGAGAGGGCGTCCAGCCAAACGGTGGGTAGAGGGCATCCGTGAAGAGATGGAGAGATGCCAGCTTCCGGAGGATCTCTACCATGACAGATTCCTGTGGCGGGTAGGCGTCACAAAGCGCCCTAGCGGCTTATATATACATACAAATATCTGGTTGATACGGATCACTCCTAATCCTCCAAGGAATGTGACTGACAAATTACTTTGTATTTTTGCTGCATTCACACTTGACATTGGTTTCTACAGATGATGAACTATTGCTAGCCTTTTCCCAGCAATTATCAAAGCATTGAGAGCAGAAAATGATGAGAATTAAATTATTTTATTAAATGTTGAGAAAATTTTTTCTGACCTACCTAAATGCTTAAAATAATATTCTTTATGACGGAATTTCATTCGAGGCTAAGAAATTCCAGTAGAGGACTCATAAATAATTAAACGAATGGTGCATTAGATTGCATAGTGCTAGAACTGGTGAATGCTTCATTAGACAGCAACACTTGGATTCTGAAATCGGTTTTAAAATATAATGAACAGCCTTGTTGGGTTGATGAGTTTACATTAATCACAGGAATAGATAAGTAGGCACAGGGGAGCAGGCAAATACTAGAGAACTCTCTGACATTTTAGAACTACTTCAGATTAAGGTATGTTGATAGCAGTTCCTGGCTTCTTACCTTCTGTACAAGGGGTGTCTTGGTTGCAAAAAGTTCCAGGTTTCCCCCAATTTCAATCAACCCTCCTCCTATTAAACCAAAATTCATGACCCTTTCCCCTGAAGATTAGAAAAGAAATAACAAAACGATCTTGTACCCAATAATTGTACTATTATACCACTATAGCACCCTATATTTCACTGGGTTCACCTGTTTTGTGGGGGTTCCCCCTTTTTTCCTGTTACCGATGGGCCTCCCCCACTTCACGCAACCGGCATGGTCAAGAAGTTTCTATATATCTAGCAGATGCCATTTTAATGGAAATGCGGTTCTGAAGATACTGAACTTTAGGTAGTGAGAGGGGAATTTGACTGATAAGAGACTAATAAAATTTACCTTCAGCACTGAGCTCCCGTCCATTTTCTTTCCCGTTGACTTTGGGATCATCCTTCTTAGGAGGGGCTTTCTTGTTTTTACCACCTAGTTGACGAGCTTTGGCAGCTTCCTTCTTCTTCAATTGTTCCCTTTTCTTTGCGTCAGACGGCATGGTTGCTCTGAAGGAAAGAGATCACACACAACAAAATGAGAAAATTGGACATGAGAGTGAAAATTCAGTTTAGCTAATTGATTTCATTTTCGTTCCTTCATGATGTAAAGAAGTCAACTGGAGGAGGAAAAAAAGAATTGATAACGCTGCCTTATCCAGCAAAAGATTAGGTAGGTAGAATTGCTAATTATGCATTTGAAGGAGGTGAAAGTTTGAAAGATTAAGTCAAAGTGGTGAGAGCCATACAGTTTTATGATAAGGAATGTTAGCAGTGATGTACTCTCGATTTGAGACTAATATCATTTTCACAGTCCCCGAATAAATCTAATCAATTATTCCTTGTTTACATTCTCAGTCAGTACCCACTTACGGTGAAGAACATGTTTCAGCAACTGAGACAAGCATCAACTATTCTTTAGAGATGTTTCAAGTATGATAAACGGACTTCTTTCCGGTATAAGATAGGATAAATATGGGGGACAATACATGAACAACTTGAGCATTAACAGTTCTAGTATCATCATGATACGGTCGAGACAGGAGGCAAGACGTCAGTGAGAGAGGCTGTGGCAGTGTTTGATGGGCAGTCAACCTTCAACAAATGCTATGTTCGTAATTGACATACTAAGAGAGGATAGAAGCGATTAGTTGACGAGATATTAATTTAGTTTCAGAAATTCCGGTCCGGAAAAGTGAGAATTAGGCCATGAGGAGTCCTCACCTTACTGAGCTGCTTAGTGAAAACAAAGTAAAGGAGTAGAAGTTCTTAAATTAAATCCTGTTTAGAACGTCGATTGAAAAGAGAAAGCTGAAAAGAACTTACTTACACTTACGTTATACGAGAAATAACAAAATTCCTGGGAAATCAACACATGTAAAATTAATTCGTCAGTACTTGGAGTACTTTACGAATTGAAGATTTGAGAAAGAGAGAGAGGTTACGTACATACGGCACGGTTTATGGTTTACGGTGTATGCTGTGTCGTCGCGGATCGAGATCGATGGCCAAAGTGTGAAACCACGTATCTCCATTGCGATGTGTCAAACTTGCCTTAAGGTGTATCTACAGCTGCGTGAAGTAAGAAATTTCTCCGCGCAGGGGGCGCCACCGCTGTGTTTTAGAGTCCGCACAGCACCACGTGAGTCCTTGAGCTTTTATAAAAGTTGAAGGAATTTCTGTTTAAATCGAAGATAAATAAGTTCTAGCTATAACATTCTTCTTCCTATTGACCCTAAAAACAACGTGAAAAGTCATTTCTGAAGCTCTGCAATTTGATCCCAGAAAAAAGTAGGGTTAAGCATGATGACCTTGATGCAACCAATCGCGCTTGATCGCTCTCAGCAGTTGGCAGATATCTCTCTCCCACCGTGAGCTGTCTCTCTCGCACTTACAGATATCCCGTAAGAGAAACTGGGATCAATTTACAGCTTTTATTATTAGACTTTCAAAGCTCGCGTTTGTTTCTAAGGATTCCAGACGTATGCTGCTAGAACTTATGAGTCTTAGAATTTAAGATACCTATTGTGATATTTAAATAATCACTGATTTCGGAGTCGGATTTTAGCAGCGCGACGTGGTGGATTTTTTCGGAACTACAGCTGAAGATTAACCTTAATTATTTTACTTCTGCAAAGGTAGAGAGCATATTTTAAATCTTGGAATTTAGACTGATTATTCTGTTAACAACGAAGAAAAATCATGGAATTTTTCAAGAAAGTGCAGTCTCTGGAATCTCTAAAAAAATAATAGAGCCTGTCAGGGAGTCTGAAACGTCGCAAACGGAGATCTGTGGTTTTACACTTTGGTCATGTTCTCTGTGATCCCGTTCCGTGATATCATTGGTCTGTCCCCAACCCAACCCCATGCATGCCTCATGTCCACAACAAGAAAACAGTTGAATGAATGTCGAATATTTTCTTTAATTAGTTAGTGCGCAAATAACGGTGATTATTTATTTAATACAAATAATGTGCAAGGCAGTAATGTGATTTTATGACAAGTTAAATCACTTTTACTCACGGTACGCACCATTCGTTCATCCCTTAGTGCCAAGTGTCAAGTCAAGGAAAATAATTTTCTCGTGTGAACTAATATGACATTCAGCATTTTCATACTGTTATGCAACAATTTTGTCAAAATCTAGTCTTATAATGTCGCGTATTTACAGGAAGTACATCAAGCTTCTAGAGAAATGGCCTACGGACTCTACTAAATCAGGAAGGTAACAAGATTTTCTTCCTTCTAATCATCGATCTTACTTAATATCATGATGTTATGCTATGGATTTGCACCTGTCACCAGAATTCTCGTAATCTGCCATTTGTTGAGTTAGCAGGAGCTTAATTTACTCTTGAATGAATGAATAATGTTAGCGGTGTATCCTCTAAATCAATGTCCACACTAGAGCAAACTGCTGCACCGCAAAACAAACGAGCATTCGGGTGTGAGCTCATGCAGTGCAGGCTACTCAATTTTCCGCAGCACAACTTGCATCATATAGTGCATGAGCACCATTCTGTGCCATATCAGCAAGCAAGTTCAGCCAAATTTCCTTTGATTAAGGTTAAGAAATCGCCTCCAGAGCACGTATCGCTACTCCGAGCGAAATTTTCTCATTCTCTGTGCTGTGCTATTCATACTACTTACTTACAGCACAAAACTGCTGAATTTGTGTTCAAATTGTGTGATCAGACTGATTGCTCTAGTAGGGACGGGATTTAAAGTATTGAGGCCCATGAAACAGTTGATAGATGTTTCAATAAATTAACCCATCCTTATTTGACGAGTATACTCGTCATCGCGCGCGTGGGACATATCTCAGTTGACGAGTTAATTCGCGGCATCTATCGGCGTTGCTATGCGATTTTTTTGCCAGTGGTTTTTCAATTTTCCGATAGATGGCATCTCAAGCGTTGGAATGCCGAAAATGGCGCGAATTAACTCGTCAGCTGAGATGATGTCCTAGGCGCCCGCTGATGAGTAAACTCGTCATGTGAGGCGAATGGGTTAAGAGGAGGATAATCAAAGGTTACATATAATTCTTGATCACGCGAACATTTTTGGTGAGAAAATGCAGAGGCCTTGAGGGTCTTCTAGAACTATACTTTAAAAATTGAAGTTAATTCGTATTGAGTTGAAAGGATAATAATCAATTTTACATTGCAGCATCAATAATTGCGTTCGGTTTTTGTAACAAGTTTAAGCCCCCATACGGACAAAACTATGTCTAGTACCTTAATCAAAGAAGGGATCACAAAATTGTAGAAGCGTTTCTCCAATTTTGCCATTAAAATTTTTCGCGCTATATTGCGGAAGCTTAAAAGAATGTGCACCCCTGGATTAATCCAGGTGTTCGAAAAGTTCTGTGTGGAAATAATTAGCCGCTATTATAGGCTTGGAATTTTCTTATTCTTAGCAAGAATCCTCTCTCCATATACCTATAGGTTTTTTTATGCACTGAACCACCAAACTTTGAAAATCAGCGAGTTTTTCTGTTTACGTATCTTAAAATATCCCTACTTGTTGTGGCTGATTTCCTTATGCCATGCACGAGCAGGAGCTGAATTTTGTTGGTCCTTTCACTGTACTTCAATATACTTAGGATGAGTCTCGACTGCTTTTTAGTCCGCCCCCAGGCTTCTGACTGATCGGTGGTGCGGTTTGGACATATCGATAGATTTTGCACCCATATGTGAAAGAACAGACAAAATTCGGTGGCAGAAGCTCACAAGAAGAGGTCAAACTTCCTAGTTCTTTTGGACAATTGTGGGTAACCAATCTATTTCACTGCCAGGCTGTGATCAAACTAGTTTTTAGCGGGCTGCTAGTTTAGCCAAATAATCTGTACGACCTTTGAGTTTTTGACCAATATACAGCTAATCACCTTTTTTAATAAAAATCGATTGAAAAATGCCCCCAAAAGTTAACAAACTATTTCAGAACTTCCTGTGTAAGTGGGTATTTTCTGCTTTATGGCGTCAAATTCTGACCACCAATTTTTTTCTCAAGCCAGCAGTTGCCAGCATTATAAAGTTAAACTTAATTTATTTCTTTGCCCTTGCTGTAAGTATCTCTAGTTTGGTAATCACCTTCTGTTTATTTTTGTTTTTCAGAGATCTTGGTACGCATTTACGTGAGGAAGTCAAAAAAGTGTTCGGTTCAGGCGTCAGTTTTACAGGTAATGAGCAGCAGTGTGAAGAAAATTACGCTAGTTTGAAGAGGATCGTTGATAATCATTATTTTGAGAAGTACCCTCGCACCTACAAATCTAGTGCTTCAGGTCTGAGCGCTGAAGACTGCAAGGCAGCCATAAGTGACGACTTCTTGGAATACCTTGAACACGAGGCAAAACCAACCTGGAAGCTCTGGCTAGAAAATTTAAGAAATAAAAACGTCTCGAGTCCTGCAAGTCAACCTCCCATAAATCCTTAGTTTTTGTCCACCCATATTGACTTTTGTAAAACATATTAATTATTGTTTTTATCATGTTCCTGGGTTTGACTGTACTTTCAAAAGGCTCAGGAGTCTTTTCTCCTATTCGTAGGCTGAGCTGCTCTGTGAACCAGCCTCATGTTCCTGTCATGGCAGATGAAGTTGTCAGCTATTTAAGCCCTGTAAGAGGCCAAACCCTTCTAGACATGACGTTTGGTGCTGGTGGTCATACCAAACGTTTGTTAGATGCCGTACCTGATCATGATGTAACTATTTTTTGTTTGGATCGGGACCCTGTTGCACACTCTCTAGCTCAAGAAATGGCTAAAAAATATTCTGGCAAACTTATACCTCTTTTTGGGAAATTTAGTGAAGTACCCGAACTCTTGATGGCTCATGGTATACATTTTAATAGTTTTGATGGTATTCTCTTCGATTTTGGATGCTCCTCGATGCAATTTGATGTTGCTGGAAGAGGGTTTGCTGTCTCCAAAAATAGTTTCCTTGACATGAGAATGAATCAAAATTCAGACACTCCTACTGCAGCTGACATCCTTGCCAATGCAGAAGAGAACGAGTTGTACAAAATATTCAAAGTTTATGGTGAGGAAAAAAAATCCAAACAAATCGCAAGAGCAATCATAGAAGCTAGGTATTGCCTCAAAAAAATTCAAACTACGCAAGATTTAGGTAACTTAGTATGTTCCGCAACAGGTAGTGATTATTATGAAGACAAGCTTCAGAGACAAGTTCACCGAGCGACTAAAGTGTTCCAGGCATTGAGAATATTTGTCAATGATGAGTTGAATGAAATAGACTTTGGTATGGTCATTGCTGATAAATACCTGAAAGTTGGAGGAACTCTAGTCACTTTGTCGTTCCACTCACTTGAAGACACCATTGTCAAACGGCATATCAGAGGCAATATTTTAGAATCATCAGCAAATCCATTGCCCCTGAAATATGTTAGCAGCTCTCTTTGCCTTAAAGCAGAGGATATCTCTGATATTTTCCGCTCAAATTGGAAAATGCTAAGCAAGCATGTTATACTTCCAAGCCCTACTGAAATAGAACAAAATCCTAGGAGTCGCTCAGCAAAATTGCGAGCTGCTGTCAAAATTCAATAATGTATTGTAGAAAAGAATTGTTCATTGTTTTTGTTTACCTACTTGTGTGCTTATAAAAACACATTCTCCTATAAGTTTGTTTTATTTTTTGACTTTTCTAATCTTTAACTACATTTTTACCGTCAACATTAGTATGCAACCTGTTCAATCAACTTCATCCACCAATCTGGATCATCCCACCGAAATTTCTTCCAGCATGCGTTCTGGCTTACCTGTAAGAAATTACTTGTAAGCAGTTGATTCTGCTATGTTAAGGTTAGGCTTAGTCATGAAGGCAGAAGGGCCAAAATGTAAAAATCTCATCCAGTTTTTTTGGCGTAAAATCAATATTCAATTTGATCATCAAACAGATATTTTCATTATGAGAAATTTATTAAATTGTAGTTGGATAAAATTCTTTGTTTGGCAGAATTGAAATGAGTAATTTTCAATGCACAAAGAAAGAAATGCACTTTATTACTGGAGCATAATGATTACAATGTATATTTTTTTTCTTTTCTTTTTTTTTTGGAAGAATCGTCTTTTATAATCAGCCTATATTTTTAAATACCTAAGCCTTTGTTTGATGTCTGAATTGACCGCTTGAAACAGAAAAAAAATGAGCCTCTTTCCTCCCATGCTCTACCTATAGATTTAGACTGTAATGTCTTTATTCCTTATATAAACGACCTCAGTTGGCACTTATGTCTTGAGGAAATCTGTATCTTGAAGGGGAGTCATTAGTTAATTTTGATAATTTTTTTTTCTCTGTTCTTCTGTCTGATCGAATTCTATTACATGCGTTCTTCTGTAATTCAAATCCAAGAGCTTCAAAATCCGATCATTTAATTTGTCAGTGATGCAACATTTTATGATGCACGAAGTAAATTCAATGCAGCACCCTAAGAACGCCCCTGCAATGTGCATCCAAAACTTTGAACAGATTTTTCTCAGAACAACATTTTTTTATTTTCAGGTATACAATTTTTCAAGATCTACTTGATGTGTTCCCAAAAAATGGTAATTTTTTTCCTCTTAAAATTTCAACGTTTTTCTCTAATTACAGGCGAGAGGAAAATTACTTATTACTTACTGCTCTTCAAAAAACAAAAACAGTCCAAACAAAGGTCTGAAGTTAGGGTGAAATTCTCTTGAAAAGTGCTCAAAATTTTATGAAAATTTTAATTTTTTGAATTTCCAAATATTCTCATGACCAACGCAAAACGAAATTTCCTTTAAGAAATCTAAAAGTAACAAGAGATTTTAAAAATTAATCCTGTAGAATCTATATGGAAAGTGCACCTCAGCATCGGTAAATTTTAAATTGACTCATGACTCCGCTGAACAGCTCGACAAATTTAAGGACTTCTCCATGAGGAACCACTCAAGCAAAGTAGGTATTTAAACGTAGGATCGTAGCAAAATCATTTACATTGGCTCTGCAGGATCTAAAATGAAAGATAGGAATTAATGGAGGGTTTTGATGGACTGCTTCCTAAAATAACTTGTTGAATTCCAGTTCACTTTTTCAAGTGATGGCTCCATAATGCCTTGAGGTAAATAAACATAGTGAGATTCTGATACTTACATTTTGAAAAAGAAAATAAATTACTTTAAGTCAAACTTGTGAGTTACTTTAGTCCTGACTTGCAATGTTTCAATATTATTCAGGCACCTACCGGCCAAAGTATCACAAGTGCCATATTTGACGTTTCAAAATTTCCGTCCCCATTTAATTTTTTTACTGTGAAATTTTTGGTTGAATCTGTTTGAAAATATGACTGAATTATATCGGCAGCACAAAGAAAGTGTTCAGTTCAATTTTCGGACAGCCTCGTCTAAAGCGGTGGAAATTTTGAAAAGTTGCATGGCGCTTGTGATACCTCGGCCGGCAGGTGACGGTATCTCAGCCCCAGCACGAAAATTTCCAAAATTTTTCAGCAAAATTAATTAATTTTGCATCGGCGTAAGGAAGTTGCAACGGCGATAGAGCGGAAATGACCCGAGCGGAAGCCATATCGCATTTGAAACGCTGCGGAAGTGCAATGATCAGGACCGGATATTGGTTTTTGGCGCCAAAAATTATTGGGCATGGCCACTGAAAGTGGAACTTGCAGTGACATGCCGTGGTGAATAGAAGTTAATTATTTTAAATGTGTGTAAAAAAGAATTGAAATATCAACCATACATCGGTCATTTTCAATACTTGAAAAAAGCTGGAGATAATACCCAAAATAAACAGATCTATATTTTACTACGTCGACAGTGCTGCGAGAATGGCCACCTGGCACCGTTGCCATGTTTTTGTTGTCTAGTTAGACATCATTCATGGCTTGATTGTTGATTGGCTTGATTGATGTATTTATTACCACCGATAACGCATTGGAACAAATTCTAAAACATTTTAAACATGTGTACTTTAATTTTTGTGTGAAAGAATAAGTGACCTTTTTGTTTCGGCGTCAGACAAAGTTGAAACCTTTGAAGAATGGGTCCTGCACCAAGTTCGCTGATGGCTTTTCTATGACAAACCCTTATCAATGCACACATCTGCATACACAAATCCTGGAATTTCACCCGGAATTTGTAAGTACAAATCCCTTTATCTGTTTGGTATGCTAACAACCAATCAGACATTTTGTCCTGGCATCAATTCACCGAATCTCAGGAAGTGTGAGGAAGGAAAATCAGTTACATTCTGCGTAGTGAGGTCATTTTTTTACCACTGGTGGTCTAAGTAGTACTGTTTCGTTTCATTTAAAGGTATTTTGCCTTGCACACTATTGCGAAGGATCCATGCACCATTACAACATGAAGACCACTAATAGGTGACAAGATGAATTTGGCGTCTGAACTGGATTATATATAGTTGATTGTTTATCTTGTCCATTGAAATCGGTGAATGTGAGTAGCCGAGCCTTGTGAGACGAACCGTAACAGAAGCCCTGCTGCCTCATGCATTCACAGTATCAGAAGTAGTATGATGATCTGCTTGCCTAGATGAAGTTACAACAATCGCTGCTTGAGCTGTCAGATTTCATCCTCTTGAAAAAAGTGAGGTTAGGTTATATCTATGTTCTATGGAACTCCATGAGCCAATGTTTTTTTTTTTGTAGAGTAAGAATATTTAGCTGAAGCAAGCAAACCTTGACATAACATTTGCAAATTTTGCCATAATTCTGGGTTCTCATACATTTTTTGTTAAAATAAAATACCCGTCAAATATGTTAAGGGGTATATTTCAGCCGTGTCCAGGAGTGTTCAAATGAATTCTTGCCGGAACGCTATTGGTATCGTCTTAAACTGATACTGGTAGTTTTACTGATAGTGGTGATAATATCGTTAACAGCCAGCCTTATCGGAGTCCTTAAAGCTTGCTCTCGATGCACTGTTGCCCTGTGAATTGGTTTGTCAGATTGCCTGGCGCGGCGGCGCGTAAAATAAATGTATACACGGCAACAGCTTATTTTTGTCAGCTCCAAAAACTCAGATCGTCATCGGTAAGAGCGCTCATATCGTAACTTTTTCTTAACAGAATTGTTTTGGTAGCTTACCGACAATCGATAGAACAGCCCTAGCTGCGCTCCTCTTGGAATCTATTTTGAAATTAGTAAAGCTGCAAGTATGCAATCTCCAAACTACTTGTCCAATTTGACTACTTCAATGTAATATATCACATAATCAGTCATCTTCCTCCATCGATGGGACCATGGCTACTTCCAAAAACTGTCATGCAACCATCAGCTGGATCACGGCTGATATCTGGGACCTGCCAACAAAGCGTGCCAGGTTTGAGGGTAAAGGAGGTTGCGCTCAAGGAGCTCTTTCCTGATTCAGATGCGTGAAGCAGATTCTCTTTCCACTGAAATAATAAATCTAAGGGTGAAAAAAGCAATGTGAGCCTCTGCATTGGAGCTATCATTTATCGGTGATTATTTTATCATTTTCTAGTTTTTGAGAAAGATCTTTTTTGATGTTTCAGAGTTTCAACAATGAATAGCGGATCAAGTGGGTTTGATGATAGAACGGAGGAGGATGAATTGACTCTGCCTCGAGCATCGATAAACAAGTTGATAAAAGAAATAGTACCTCACATCCGAGTTGCAAATGAAGTACGAGAGCTCATCTTAAATTGTTGCACAGAATTCATCCACTTAGTGTCTTCCGAGGCCAATGATATTTGTAATCAACAACAGAAGAAGACAATAAACGCTGAACATATTTTAGCCGGTAAAATTTTAACCACTTTTCACACTATTAATGATGATTTAAGTAAACGGTGTCCCCTACATATATCTGAATCTAATTTAGATGCAACTTTCTTCATTTCAGCATTATTAAAAGTGTGTTTTAATGCATTGAAACCAAATCCTAACAAGGTGGTTAAACACGATTTTAACTACACAAAATTTTTTAGGTTCCAGAGTTAGATTTAGAGTTGCGGGCTGAAGTCCTGGGTGACAAATTGGTGAAAACAAGGGACAGCTTTACAAGAAATGATCTCTTCTTTGCTTTCCAGTCTTGCGACATCGCCAAGAGAAACCCTCACAAAAAAATTCGAAGCCCTCATGAGAGCGGTAAATTTTTGTAAAATTGTAAATCCATCCCTATTAGGCTCCTAAAACGTTCTCTCTTGGTATGGCAATGTGCAAAACCTCTTGATATATCTGCAGAGCAGGAAATACAAAGATCCTATAAACAAAAGGAGAATTTATGGACCATTTACACTCTCAGCCATTACGCATGGGTGTATAAATTGTTGTTTTTATTACCGGCACCAATTACTTAACTTTTTATTTCTGATTTCAGCTTTAGACAAATTAGGCTTTGAAGATTATCGCAGTCATGCTGAGCTCGTCCACCATAACTGTAAAGCATTAGCTGCCAAAAGAAGGAGACAGAGTACAAGACTTGAAAATCTAGGTATCCCAGAAGAAGAACTTCTTCGGCAGCAGCAAGAATTATTTGCCAAAGTAAGTTGTTGTCACCCAGATAAGTAAATTGATTTTCAAATTTAGAGTTACTCAGATGTTTATGAAGTCCGACAGTAACTATCTATATTTAAGCTCTTTACAGTGAAAACAGAAAAAAGTCATCCTAGGATGATGGGTCTAGCAATTGTATGCCTTTAAAGTGAATTTACAATTATTTTCGTAAAAGAAATCTTCAAAGCAGTGAGCCCAGCAGATCAAGTTCCATTAGTACTTTAATATTGATTGATTGTTCTCCAACATCAACCAATTTTTGATAAGTGATAGGTGAAAATTCAGATGAAAGTGCTGTGGTAGGTGGAATGCCAAAAGTTCCCTTTCATATGTTTGTAGTCAATACTTTGAGAAGTCTCCTCTAGCAGGAATAAAAATCTGCAATTGAATACACTGCTGGAAAAAGGGGACACACGCACATATGCCCTTTTTCAATTACCAGGCTTATTCAATCCTCATATTAATCCTTATATCCTTAAAAGTACATCCACTTAGTTTCATAGTGATATCTTAATTTGAATGTATGGTATAAAGATTCAAATGGGTCGGATTTCCGCATTTGGATGAGTTTGCCAGAAGAGAGGGATGTACGTAACGTCATGCCAAAATCGTCCGTCAAATAAAGAAATTGCGCCGTAAGTCAGTGTGATTCATTAAAACATTGAGGAGTAATTCACCTAGGGTATCTATCCTGAGTGAGAATAAAGTGGCTCCGCAACCTTCTGGACAATCCTCAAACTCATATCGAAATGATAATTTTCTGTTGTGACAAAGTGTTCGTTGTCATAGGCCCATATGGTCTAATAAAATCAATTATTTGAATGAATTGCAACTTTGAAATTGACCTGAGACTGCGCGATTTTATAATTTGTGTTTCTGGAGAAACAAAGAAAACTTTCAAACGCAATTTTCTGAAATTTTGTTTTTTGCCTTTGTCCCTGTTTGCCGGCAACTAATTCAATTTTAGTTAGTTGAATCCAAAAGTATAGGGTGTCATATTCTCAGTATCCTCTAACGTTGACAATGACAAAGAATCAGATGATTATTAATTACGCGGAAACTAATTTTCCATTCTATTTTATAAGTCATCCATTTTTTGTATCATATTTTTTTTTATTTATATATATGAATGATAGTTCAATTGAAGTGCGAAAAGAAGAATGACAAAATAACTCAATTAAACTAGTAAATCAGCGCACTGAATTTTCTTATAACAAAAGACAGGAAATTTCGAAATTCCTGGTCTTCTAGATATGTAATCTGTATTATCTTAGGTAATTTGGTTTCTTAAAACTTTGGTGAATTTAATTTATGTAAAGAGATACAAGGCATGTATAGTTTTTGTAGCATTTACAATATTTTCAAATAAAATTTGTTTAAGTAATGTTCAAGTAAAAAAGAAATCATCTATTTTTAGGCTCGAGAAGAACAAGCAGTCGCTGAAATGAACCAATGGCAAGAGGTGCAACAACTGGTTAGCCAAAAATCTAATGTGGACGATGACGAAGAATCAGATGATTATTAATTACGAGGAAACCAATTTTTTCCATTCTATTTCGTAAGTCATCAGTTTTTTGTATCATATTTTTTTTTTAATTTCATTAGCCAAGAAGTAAATTCTAAATGAAAGTATTTCTGTGTAAAGTAATCAACGGAAATAGAGATGCAAAAGAACCCCGCACAGAACAAGGGGCTCAGTGGCCCTATATAGATGCTGATTAAACTTTAATAGATTGATATGAAGCTCATCATTAGCAGACAACCAAAAAATTAGCTCATTATAACGAGTAGATGCCGAGATATTCGCAATTGAAGCCGCTTTCTATCATGCTGCAGCATGGCGGAAGAAATTCAAGTCCCCTCTCCTCTCATTGTTTGGTGTTCTAGATCAGACCTTACACGCAGATAGGTGCTCATGCGCTCGGCCGGTGCAAGTGCTGTATCTTTCCTTCTCCCCATATCTGTCAATTCTGTTTCAGCAACTGTCATTTCAGATTCAACCAGCTGGTGCCGGTGCGATAAGGGATCGGTCTGCTACATCATCTGGTAGGCGTCGCTCTTCATGATGTTCTCAATCTCTTTCAGCCATGCCATGCTTGCTGGTGGTGTGAAAGGGGGTTTTTCGGCCGAAGTGTTCTAGCAAGGGAAGGCGATGAGGAGCCCCCATTTACCTCCGCCGTACAAAAAATAGTCCGGGTTCAATCGCGAATATCTCGGCTTCTACTTGTTAGAATGAGCTAATTTTTTGGCTTTCTGCTATTGATGAACTTTACATCAAGCTATTAAGGTTTAATGAACATCTATAGAGGGCCACTGAGCCCCTTGTTCTATGCAGGGTTCTTTCATGAAACTTTATATAATTAAATTTTTTAAAACTTCTGCAATGGACTCAGTTTGCCACAGCAATGCATAGAAACAGTAGGCTCTTAATTTTGAAATTTCGAAGAAAAAAAATGTATCAAGTTGAATTTTGAAGTTTTTTTTATCAAATTCTTGGATTGAAAAATCGTTGAATGGAGAGGTATCGATAAGGGCTGTATGTTAGCTCACACCAGCTGAGATTTCCTCAACTAAACAATTTTTTGCTCTTTTATTTTACAGGGTGCATCATGATTTGGTGATTTCCAGTCTCTTTTTAGGCCTGATGTTGGTCTGAGCAGTCCAATTTTTTGCTAAAATCGACCATCAGGCCTATGTTTCGACCAAAATCCGACCTATAAAGAAACCGGAAATGACCAAGTCATGATGCATTCCTCATAATATGGACCTTCAATACGGAAAAAATCGTAGATTTGAGGAAATTCAGGGCAAAAGGAAATTTAATGAAACGTCATTTTGCACCTCCGAACAGGAATCATTTCATATGTAAACTGCAAAATTCAATCATAAGAGATTAACTTTCTCCCCACAATTTTGCTAATCTTTAGGTTTTTGACTTGTAACCTTCAGTTTTTTCCATCAGAAAATAGAATCATTCGATTTCCTGTTTGGAGGACATAATACATAGGTTGTCCCAAAAGTACTGCACGTTTTTTCTTTTTGGACGAACGGTAGCAGATATCAAAATGCGGTTTGTGTAGTCCTAAAGACAGAGCAATTACCGATAAAACAACACAAATCCGAGCTCTCTAAGTCAAAAAATGACCAAGTTACAGGGTTTTGAAAATGGCTTCCAGAGGGGACCCCTACGGAAATTTTAGCTTCTTTTCTGGAAAAAAAAACAAAGATTTAAAGATTCAAGATCAATTGGTTTTATTAAATCAATTTTACACAATCTTACCAAGATTACTGGCATTTAATCCTCTTCACTTGACGACTGGATACTGGTTTCCTTCTCAAAATACCTTCCATCGCTTGCCACACAGCGCCGCAACCGTTCTTCCCACTTCTTCAAACATGTTTTTTCGAATTCTTCTTGCCTGATGTTCTTCAAGAAAGTTTCAACAGCTCTTTTTATCTCGTTGATGGAGTTCAATTTCCTGCCTCTTAAGCCCTTTTTCAGCGTAGGGAATAACCAAAAATCGCAGGGTGCAAGGTCCGGGCTGATATCATGTTGCCAACTTCATTCGATCGCGATGATTTCTCTGTAGAATTTTTGATTAATCAAATCTTTGTTTTTTCCAGAAAAGAAGCTAAAAATCCTGGAGGGGTCACCTCTACAAGTCATTTTCAAAACACTGTAACTTGGTCATTTTTTGACTTAGAGAGCTCGAATTTGTCTTGTTTTATTGGTAATTGGCCGGTCTTTAAGACTACACAAACCGCATTTTGATATCTGCTACCGTTCGTCTAAAAAAAAAAAAACAATCAACTCTTTGTTTTTTTCCCGGAAAAGAAGCTAAAATTTCCGTAGGGGTCCCCTCTGGAAGCCATTTTCAAAACCCTGTAACTTGGTCATTTTTTGACTTAGAGAGCTCGGATTTGTGTTGTTTTATCGGTAATTGCTCTGTCTTTAAGACTACACAAACCGCATTTTGATATCTGCTACCGTTCGTCCAAAAAGAAAAAACGTGCAGTACTTTTGGGACAACCTATGTATCATATAGAGAAATGAAATTTGTGTTTGTCTTCTCTTCTACTAGTTAAACAATATCCCCCAAGACTGCATCAGAAAATAATTTAAGTAATAAGATTTGCAAAGGAAAATGTTTATAAGTGAAAATATCTCTCTTCTCTCCAACGCACTTTAAAAAATCTCAATAACCTTTTTCAATTTTATTTTATCTCTTTTTTTTATTTGTTTCACTCTTTACTCACTCAGTCTAGTTCACCATTTTCCTTTTTGAGAAAACGTCCCCAGCTTTTATGGAAATTGCCATTTCAAAGAAATTGTTTGGTCCTACTTACAATTATCACTGATGCACTTCTAATTTGTAGGATAATATGTCAGGTTTTAATTGAAATTTGTTTAAACCTTTCAGCTCTCAGTTCCTGTTAAGTTCAACTCTAATGTTTGTGCTCCTCTTCTCATAGCTTGCATTTTGTGGTGATTCAAGACCTTCCAAAATTGATGTGAGTTAGCTCCAACTTAGAATTTTACTTAGAATCAGTATGTTTTGTTTTGATTCAGCATTGATGTTCTTTTTTCTTGTGAAGGAACGAAAAGCAAGAAAATTTTGCAGTTGAGTACAAATAGTTCATCGATTTAGGGTGTGAATCGCCAAACCTTACACTCAAGATTTCATCAACTCAACTCCTAAAATTAGGTGTTGCATTGACTCCGTTTGTGGACTTAATTTTCATCATCGTAAGGGTACCTTCTCGATGTTTTCTCATAATGAAAAACATCCAAGGTCACATTTTGCAGAAAAACATTAGTTATCTACCAAGGAGGAATGAATGCTTTTCCAAGCAAGAGGAATTTCAGCTGTTTAGGAGGTTAAACCAGAAAAAGACATATTTTTTTACAACACACTTTTAGATGATTTTTTTTAAGTTCCAAAATTAAAAAAATGACACTATCCTGAAGATATTAAACAATAGAACTCGCGGAGTACTAAAATGCAGTTTTGGAATTTGTCCAATTGGATTGGAAAAGGGAGCAACAGCAATGAAAAAATTAGAACCTTTCATTTTGACTTGCATACTTACAGTTAACTTTTAAATGAGATTAGTTCTATCAAGGGATATTTTTTCCCCCATTTGTTAATTTTTCATATTTTTCTTGCGTTTTGTCAATCTAAAGATAGATTATTTTCAAGTCTTTTGTGTGATTTTTATTAAAAATCCAATCATAAATTTCCACTCGGTCTTTCAGCCGTTAGCATTCCTCTTTTACTTTGCACTATGTTCCAGTAGACTTGATTTAGCAGTTTGAAGGATTTCCAACATGTTGCCTTCTACACTTCTGCTTCTCTGGGAAGTAATCTCTCCCTTGATCCCATATCAGTCTACATGACAAATAGAGGGTCGTATAAACAAGAGTGTCGACAAATTTTCTATCTGCCTTTCCTGCCTAAAGATTTTCCCTCGTTTTAGACCCTATATTACCCAAGTTATGGTCCCAATTTTTCAGAGATTTTTTTGCTGAATGAACTTGGAGTACCCCTTACCTAATTGCCGTAGTTTGGATGATGGCATGTCTGAAAAGGAGAAAAAATTTTGAACCAGAACAGATAATGTTGGCTACCTGAAAAAACCTCATTTCAACCAGACCTGTTTTTTGTGCTCTTGCTGCGTTAAAGGTCAAGTACACGTAGATCGTGCATTCAAGTAGTCATGTCGGAATGACAAAATCTAGTATATCCAATTCACCGCATAACTCTTTTCTCGATCTTCATTGACAGCAATCTTATAATTTTAATTTTTTGTTTTTGTACTTTTCTATTTGATTGAATGCTATTGAAAAATATTAAACCAAAATCACCATGGCAATTCGTGCGTCAATTAGTTAACTAATTTTCGACAAGTTGTTGTTTATGTTTTTAGGAATGATGATTTTGAAAGGATATGAATCCAATCATTTATTAATATTGCCTTCAAATGAAATTACCTATTGAGGGTTATAATCCAGGCGCCACAATGTGTGTAAATTATGTTTCTCTGTGGAAATTTTTTGCAAAAGGCAGTAGGTAGATACTTTGAAAATTTCCGGAAGCCATCTCATGATTCAGGCATTTGTGTTTTCTGTTTTGGCAAATTCTTATGCTCTAATAAGTTGCCAATAAGTTGTAGTCTTCCTGGGTTTACTCACGTTCTGATATGATTTCAAGTGACCTCATTATTCAATAAGTAGTTTTTCGAGTGAGTGAATTTTTTTTGACAGGTTTGTGATAGCAGTTTCTCAGAGAAGTGGACCAATTTTTATAAAATTGTCCAGAGGTATTTATTAGCCATAATTTCGTTCAAAGTGACTGATGCAACTAGTAATTGGATGTATTTCTGCCAAACGGAACTATGTGCATTAAGTCATGAACCCTGGGACCCATAAGAATATATGCATAACAGGGCTCATGTCATAATTCACATAGTTCTGTTTGACAGAAATGCGTCCAATTTATCTTCTGGTTTTTCCTGCAAGCAGTAAGTTTAATTAGCTTTTTTTAATGTAACAGTTGATCATTTATTTTATCATGAGATCATTCTGGAATTTTCTTTTCTCTATTGTGTTTTACTTAAAATTTTAGAGGAAGTGTTTATTGTGGTGCTGGAATTTAAATGCTGACCAGTGGTTTATTATTAGTTGTTTGTTTGTTTTTTTTAAAAAAAATTGTTTTCTTTGTATTATCAGTTGTAAATAATTCATAAATTAATTTTAATCTCAGTACGAAATAAAATGCATCTCAAATTAGCTTTCCATGCTTTCAAGAAATTATTTCCTTACTTTTTAATACCAGCTGCATAGAATGAGCTCTGTTCTACCATCCTTTAGCAATGTGTTATAAGTGCAAAGTTTTGAAAGGAGAATCAGGGGTCAAGCAGCGTTTAAAGTATATTATTAGCATTTTCTTGTGCTAAGGGTCAGATGGCAAAGGTACTGTAGTAGGTGCACCCATTTGATCAGTGTTTGCTGAAAGAAGATGATTGTTCCCTCTGAAGTCGGGAGAGGGGAAGCCTGTGACAAAAATTGATTGTGACGAATCGCTTCTATCGACTATTGGAATTTTCTATTTTTCCTGAATGGCCTGGCCATAATCAATCTGGATGGTTAAAGTTTCATTGTAAATGATTCTAGGAAATCTAATCTATTTTAGTGTTGGAGTATCCTAGAACTTTTGTTCGCTCCAATTTGTTTTTTTTTTTTTTTTTTTTTTTTATAATTAGATATCCGGTACCAAATGAACAGTTTAACTTTGAAATCTTAACATCATGAAATCCGGTATTTCTGGCAAAGATGGGAAAAGTTTTAAAATGTGGTACAATTCTCCAGATCGTAAATTCAGAATAATGACAATTCGTATTTTGTTGTTTTAGTCTCAATGGAAGACTTTTAACTCCTCTTGATTTCCAGGTGTTTTTCTTTTACTTAGTGGTAAATTAATTGTTACAAAATCGGTTCAAGTATTTTTTAATTTTTCATATCTGTGAAGGTTTACAAATATCTCGCTTTCCCACTTAATTTATTTTTTTTCAGAGTTTTATTGAAAATTAGGATCTAAGGATAATAATAACATTATCTGTCAGTTTTAATACAAAAATTGTAACCAAACACCTGCTGTGAGCTGCTACATACAACGAGTGTATCTTTCCATTACTTCACCTATGATTAGAACACTTGAACTTCAAAGAGAGGTGCGCATTTTAAATTAGGGTGGAATGAAAAAAAACAGCAGGGTAACATATCATTTGTGTATGGCATTATATTAAGTTTTAATTTTTGGCGGTGAGGTTGCAGGAAAAAACGAAACAAATGTACAAACTCTCAATGTCTTAGATGCTTTTAACAAAGGAATTGACAAGTAAAGTAAACTGCTACTATCAGCCACTGCCTCACAGCATAGCATATCATATTTTTTCCACTATGAATTAAAACAAAGTCAAAACAGCTTTCTTTGAATTTTAATTTTATTGAAGCAACCTGAAAGTCTTCTCTACAGACTTCGGCCACTCGGAGGAAATGATATTTAGCTGCATTAAAATGTATTGTTCCTGGAACTGATGTAGTGAATCAACTCAGGGTGTAGGAAAATCACTTCCAAAAAGTTCAACTTTCCTAATGTATGTCATTTATTTTTCATAATTTCTCAAAAATTCATTTTTCTTGCATAAGATTCAAATTATCAGAAAAGGTCCTCAACTTTTATCACCATTTTACAAACTTATTTGCGTTATGATGAGGTAAATTGAAATTAATGGTTGAAATTGTAGGATCAAATTATCTACACAAAAAGAAATTTAAAATACCCATCACTTTTGAGTATGCTTCAAAATTTTTTTCCTCTTCGAATGTACAGACACTGCCGCTAATTTCAGTAAATCTACAGAGAATACATAATTAGAGGGTTAAAGCAACAAAATCCAAAAATAACTTCTTAGTTTTGAATTTTTTGTAGCTTCAAATCAATAAATTCCTAATTCTTGAGCTGTCTAGGACAGATAACAAACAAAAGAGACTTCACCTTACACTAGACAAAATTTGAGCCTCTTTGATCTTTGGCACTTTAAGTATTGCAGTCGGTTTCAAAGGTAGTTATCCAAAGGATAGGTACAATGCATTTTTTAGTCTGGACTCTTCACTAAAGGTAGCTTTTTCTTAACTTTAAAATTTACAGGTTTCATAACAGTTGTCATAGAGGGTATTAATTCAAAATCTACATTGTAAAAATTTTTTAGGCTAGTTTTTGAAAGAAATCTCTGCTCTTTTTTCTTTGAGCTAATAGTTGTATTCTTCAACATTTTTGAAATGTCTGGTCCTTGTCCTAAACCTAACTCTGTACTTTTAAAAGTGCTATTATTAGTACAGATTTGAGCAATTTCTTTGGTTTCTCCCTCTGTTCTTTTGAAAGAATCGAGATCCTCTGGCTTGGTTTCACCCTCCTGCATAGGAAGATTTTTATGGATTTTGGATGTGTCCAATGTTTGGTCGTGAATGGATACATTTTGTTTAGAGCTCAGAGGAAGAGTGTTTCTTTTACTCCTAATTTTTGAAACATCGGTAAAAAGCGTCTCATAATTGGCATGCTCATCCTGATATTGGGAGAAAGTTGGACGAGTTTTTGGCTTTTCACCTCTCACTGATATAGTTGTGTTTTTATGTGTATTCAAAGAAACTGGTTTAATGGATTGATGCTTAGGCAGTGACTGTCCCGAGCTTTGTGGCGTCTTAATTATGGCACTAGGGGAATTTTTTCCACTAACTTGTGCTCTAGAGGAGGAAACAGAACTGGTTGTCAGTACTACTGATACAGCTGGCGTCGTCAGCGATGGAAAGACAACTTTTCGAGCTTGTTTTGGACTCTCAGGAATAGCCCGAACGAAACTAGAATGAGTCTCTAGACTTTTCTGTCCAGAAATTTCATCTTCCAGAATCTCTTCATCCTGCTCACTATCTGTGATACCTTCGGTTTGTCCAATGTGGAGTGAACTATGAGGCTTTCGTTCGTTGAGAGGTAGATTTACGTCTTGATTTGGTAATTGAGAGTAGCTAAAAGGTTTAGGTGCGGCTCCTCCTGCTAGAGACCCTGGATGCTTGTTCCCTTCAAAATATCGCAAACTTGGCTGTTGGAATGATGGAAACTGCCGCGTTGGGTTCTGACTTGATTGACTGCTTATGTGGAACCCATGGTGGAAGTTAGGCGTACCAAAGCGTTCTGATGTGAAAGTAGGTTTCGAGACGGGGGCCGTATCAAAGTGGAACTGAGGTGGTTGACTGCTTGGAGGATGGTAATTGCTGATAGCAAAGCCAGAGGGCTTTGTATTAGGGAAAGGTGCTGAGAATCTTGTTGCTGACTGAGATGGTCTAGCTTGACCCTGAGCATCCTTTTGTTTTGGGGTCGGCCCGCTGAGAGGTCTAGGTGGAGGTTTTACTGCTGCTTGAGCAGGTAATTGTTTAGGTACATCATGGTGCTTCAAACTCTCTTGAAAGGCATTGTGCAAAGCAAGTAAGGCTGCAATCGTTTCCGGTGAACTCTGCGGAGAATATTCTAAATTCTGAGGGTAGTTGGAATTGTATGGGGTGGTTTGGGATGGACTCGGTGGATATTGAATCGTTTGAGGTACAGTGATTTTAAAGGTTGGTCTCGATGTAAAGCTAACTCTCGCCGTTGTAGGCCGTGGAGTTGTTGTTGTGGTAGTGGTAGTTGTTGTAGTGGTGGTGACCGGAGGCAAAGTTGAGTCATCATATTCATCCACAAATTCTTCGTCAGCATTATCTGATTTGCATTCCTCCTCATCTTCATTGCACTTTTCTTCCTCTTCTTCTTCTTTATCATTGGTACCAACTGATTCATTTTCAGGTTCAATTCTACAATGGAAAAACATGAATAAATAAACATAGAATAAATAAAATGATTAAAATAAGGTATCATGGATGAAAAACGCTAGATAAAGTATCAATAAAATCAAGCTGCCAGTCATTTCAAGTGAAACTAGTTTCAGAGTAGGTAGAATTTTTTTGTGAAAAAATTGAGCATTAAAACTCACTTTTGCTCTTCAATATTAGAATTTAAAGGTCATTATTTCTCGTGTTACAAATTTTAATGGAATTTCTCAACTTCAAGAGAGATTTTCTCAAACTTACAAAAGTGTCAAGTAACTCCTTTATCCTTTATATCTCTCAAATCTCATTCTCCTATTTGATGGTTCATATTCTTCCACTTATAGAAAAACTTTATGGAAGTGAAGGATTTTCATCAAATTTGAATTTTTTTATTTGCATATTAATGGAGGAAAAGTCAAACCAGGAAAATTAATAATAAAGAAAAATGGAAAATAATGCTCCCTATTAAAGAATATTACCTGCCATTTCGATCATGGAAATTTTCAGAAAGTATCCTTAAATGGAGAAAAAAAAAAAAAAATCTTCGATAAAGTAAAGTGTGACATTGTTGTAAATAGAGAGTGTTTCACTATTTTGCAATCAAGATTCAATAAAACTGTGAACTCCGTCACTGGTAAGAATTGAATCCGCAAAAAATCAAGGTTTTATATGGGTATTCATGGAGTACCTATAGGTAAGTTTAATTACATTTTTTTGACCTTTGCATGGAAATGTGTCCGTGATTACAAGTACTCGTATGTTTTAAAGGGAATTTGCTTGGATCAATAAGTAATTCTTTTGGATCTCACTGTTATTTTCCACTTTCAAGAAATCGATTAAATTGACTCCAGTAAAATTCCCTTATTTTAAAAGCACCTTTTCAGTTATCCTGGAATGTGGTTTTTTTTTTAAAATTAATCTGAGATTCATTTAAAATTAAAGCACTACTGATCCCGATAAATTTTTGCTCATGTTCGGTTATGATTGAGGCTTTTGCAGGTACATATCTCTGACAAAAGGGTATGACAAAGAAAAAGAAAGTAATCAAGTAGCAGAATAATTTAAATAAAAGTAGCATGATTACAATAATCAAAAAGGAACTGTCTCAAATGAAGGAGTTCCAGTGTTTTCTCTTAAAATTTCAGGTTGTGATAAGTGTTTTAAGGACTTACCCAAAGCCACCTCCGCTATTGCCATAAAGCTCTAAATTGAGATCAAAGTAACTTTCGCTCTTGCTACAGTCTACCTCATCTAGTCGTTCACAAACTCTTGTCTCTTGATCAAACACTGTGCCATTAAGGCATAAAAACTTGATGTCTGTCACTTCTCCTGAAAAGTTAAAATAAAGGATCGCTTAGTGAAGGAAAAATACACATATAATTTTGAAAACATGCAAAAGGACTTGCATCACACCTTTTTCAATCAATCTGCATTGAAATATCGTTCCTTGTGTGCGTTTGGACATCTGATATCAATGAGCTCTCCTGTACACGCAAGAAATGTCTTGGTTACGGACTCTGATGTAGAAATTTTTATCGGATTGTGAGACTAATTAGTCTCACAATGAGAGCCGCAATGAAAAACTTTGTAAGGCCGCAAATGAGTTATTCCACAATCATTGCAATAAATAAACTTCGTTCAACGAAATGTTTTTAGCTTGGTAATGAATACCACCGATCAAAATGGTAGTAAAAAAACGTTTTGTGCATCCTTCATCCCTGGTAAAAGTTGGCGATAAGAGCTGCGTTTCAAAATACCATAGAAATTCTTATAGCCGGCTAAAGAAGGCTAAAGAAAATCATATAGCTGGCTGTAGAATGCGGAGAAAATCATACGGCCGGGCTATACGAAGCGATAAAAAAGTATGCAGCCGGGCTATAGTTCCTATCGCCGGGCTTTACACTTTATCGCCTGGCTGTTGCTTTTTCGCCATCGATTATAAAAGGCTATAAGAAGTTGTGTAGAAATTCGTGTGCTTCGGAAATCATGAAGTTAGATACGGAACCACCTTAATATTGACAAAACACACATATTTTCCTTTAATACATATTTTTTTTTCATCAATTAAAAGGAGAATAATCCTTACAGGATGTGCAAACATTTCAAAATCATGAGTTGAATAACGCTGAGATTAAATATTAGAGCCTAACACAAAGCAGAGCGGCGACGCACTGGCGCCTACAAACCTAACAGGGATACTTCACGCATTGCGCAATGCGTGAAGTATTCCTGTTAGGTTTGTAGGCGCCAATGCGCGTTTCGCGCTGGCTGCCCGCCTGCCGCGCCGCAGCGTGCCACGGCGCTTGAAGCAACTATCTCACACCAGAGGTATTGCACAGTATCATACGAAACTGAAGGCGCTCTAGTATATTAGTAATGGCAGGCATCCATCAAAAGTACGGAGCTTTCCTCGCAAAATAAATCAAGATACTACGGCCCAAAAAGAGAGCAGTATTCCAAAAACTCACCGCGTCCTAGCATCCGTAATTAGTAACGCTCAGCATACACTTTAGCGCCTGGCTGTAGCTTAATCGCCATCGGCTATAAAAGGCTATAAGAAATTGTGTAGCCGGCTATAGAGGCTATTGGAAATCTTACAGCCGGCTGTAGGTCTATGGTATTTTGGAACGCAGATTCTACTGCCAATTTTTACCAGGGATGACATACAAATCCTAAGTAGGTAGGTATACAGTTATATTTTTAATTTAAAACTAACTGCTTATTTGGATGTTGGAATCAGCTTCCGAGGACGAGTTAAAAAGGAAAGATTAAATTGGAACAGAAATCGGAAATAGAAAGGAAATAATGATTGGCATTAAAAAGAAAAAAATATCAAAGTAGTAAGGTAAGTTCAACATCGGTACAATAAGTAACTATGTAAGTATATAAGTTTGAAGAAGTACGTAAGTAATTAATAAAGGTAACACCTTTTTGTCCGAGGGTGCAGACATGAAACATTTGACACCCTGTTTCAATGTCAGCGTAGTATCCACCAATAACTTTGTTTTCGCATGAGAAATTCGTATCTGGTAGATTGTCGAAGTCCAGAAACTGGAAAAGAGAGGAATGAGAAAAACGCGTAAATTATTTTATGTTGAGAAGACAAAATAAATGGACTCCTGTCTCGATGATTTCTTTCAAAAGAATCGATCTCTGTTTTATGTCAAGCAAAACGCTTACTTAAGGCAGAGAGAAATCTCTCTTGAAAATTTCTATAATATGCTTGAACTAGGTACCTAAATTCAAAACTAAGATTTTCCAACAAACTGCATGCTGATTTCTCCAATACAACAATTGTTACCCTCTTCTTCAAACCACTCTTGTTTTTTAAAGATAAGTATGGAACAGTAAAAAGTGCACTGGCATATACATTTGTGATATCTGCAAGACGCAGTGCCAACTGTTACTGACATTGTCTCTTGCTAAATTATGGTCATCTCAATTTATGGGAAGGAGAAGAGGTCGACTGTTGTAAATTATCGTTCTCAATGTTTTAAGTTTTGAAAAAAATTTCTCAAAATTATCAATTTCAAAAACTACTCAAGCGCTGATGAATGAAGAGACAAGTTGTAAAAACCCTGTTGTAATGCAATGAAACCCCTCTGACTCATCCCTTCAAATAACATGTTAATATTTTGAACCTTTTGTGTCGTGGTGAGTCTTAGGGATGAGTCGTTGAAAAAGATCCTTGGAGTCAATGAAGAAGTAAATTTTCGGCCATTTTTCAAAAACTTTCCTGCACCCATCAGATCTCTTAATGTTCTACCGTATGCTAGACCCCCCCCCCCTTCTCATCAAGAAAGGACGAGATGACAGATGTACCACTACAGAATTTTTTTTTTTTTATTTTATGTCGGACTAGGTGGTTTTAAAATTTCCAAGGAAACACCCAGATGTAGTAACGTTTTACCTAACAACGGAACTTCACAAGAAAAATTTGGAAAAGCTTAGTGAAACTAGAAAAATTTGTATTGAATGTCACATTTCCTGTTTTGTTTCGTTGATCCGTCATGAAACAAACGGGTACTAAGTAGTGCCGGTTTGGCTTCAACAGAAAGTTGAAAATCTGATTCTGACAGGTTTCACTGGTTTGAACCAAGTTTCCTAACTAAGCCACCGCCCGCGCTTACCGCGACAGCTCCGATCGATCGATGGTCGATGGTTAAAGATTAGGTACCAAGAAATAAAAAAAGCACACTTACTCCGGGCTTGACAGCCAGCGTGAGGAAGTTGCCATGTCGCCAAAAAAAACACAAGACGCCTGGAACAAAAAAGAAGACATCAGTTTTAGTCACGGAAAAGAGACAAAAAACTGGAAACCTGATCAAAAAACCAACTCGAATTTTTTTTTCATTATCCCTTAATGAAACAGAAATGCACCAAGTCGCATTTTCTCCGAAAAAAAAAAAAAAAAATTGGGCCTTACCACTCGCCCATTTGCTATCCAGTCTAATAATCAAAATCGAGACCTCGTATTTTGAATGTGAAAATACCCGTCTAACTTATCTCTAACATGAAATCTTGAGGAGGTCTAAAACGGCAAGCCTCTTTTCGCTGATTCGATCTTGATGTGACTGGGTTCATTTTCGTTAAATTCGGTCCAAATGCACGGACAGGTACGCATACGATTATTACGCTATTTGGAAGATTCAAGAAAAAGAGATTCGTTCGTACGTATAGAAAAAAGTATAGGGCGATGACGAACGCAGACAGACTTCGTTGAGGATGACAACGCCTGAGTGACGTAACTAAACTTGCTCGACGGATACCCGTGTTGCATTTTCAAGAAATGAAGGCGCTTTTGTTTTCCTTACCGCTTGAAACCGTCATCGTCCCTAGGCAGGCTTTGCTCTTCAGGTCACGCCTCTGTGGTACCTGGTACCCCTCTTGAATACTACGTTACGATTTTCTAGGAAGCCTTACTCTTTGACGTTTTCCCCTATATATATTTTTACCAATGTTATCAACGATTTTTCAAAAATTTGAAGCCGAATTGTTCCATGATGTCACGCCTCACGCGCTCAGTGCCAGATCATGCCCCTCTCCTCATAAAGCGTGACTTCACCCCTTTCCGTGCCAGAGTGTTCCAAAATCCGAAACTTTCAATATCCGCTCTTGAAAGTTTTCCGCGCCCTTTCGAAGCGAGTGATCTGGGGTCCCCCTGACTAGATGCTAGTTTTAAATATGGAAGGTATGTCACGCTATTTCTAGCACATTCCCTCACATTTCTTGGAATGGACCAAGCAGATTTCCATCATCCCTGGAATTATTTTCAGAATTTGCTTCGGAAGGAGTAGAAAAGTCATGGAAGTTTTCGAGAATTGACGCTGAGTGCTTATTTCTCCATTTAAAAATGAAGTACCTATGATAGGAAGAGGGCATCTGCCGCAAATCGAGTCACATGGTTTGGGAGTCTCACCGTCGACACTTTGTCTTAGCTTCTATGTAGACGGATCTATTGCGCATATGGACGTATTTCTGCCAAACGGAAATATGTGCATTTAGACATGAGCCCTGGGCCTCACAAGAATATATGCAAAACAGGGGTCATGTCATAATGCACATAGCGCCGTTTGGCAGAAATACGTCCATATACACTTAAATGCGTCCGCATTCAACGAACCACAAAGGTGCATAAAAACCGGGCAAGCAACAATACCTACCTACCAAGAATGGTCTCCTCGCGTTTTTTTCTCTCTCTCCCTCTCTCAAGGGGGCCTTCGGGATATTTTATCCTTGCGCGGACAGAGGTAGAGACAGAGGTGTTTCCGCCATGCAAGACGGTAGGGCGGCGAAAGCCATTGCGCAAACGCTCACTCCAGAAGCTGGAAGCCTACCTACGTCCACCTTGAACTTACTCGGTGAAAGGAAAAGTGTAGCGTCGACCGTTGTCACATTGTAATACCGCGCCGCGGAATTACCTCGCGACCTATTTCGCTCCGGTCCGGAGACAATTGCCGCCCCGCTGCCCGCGGAACATCCTATCTCCATTGGGAACTCGAAGCAGATACGTGCTTTCTGCAAAGAGCCTCACGCCCCCTCGGAGCACACCTCCGACGAAACCTGGCAGCTCGGAGTGGGTGCGGTCGGCGCGGAGTGCGACTACGATTCGAGGTTCCTTCGCTGCCCAGCACGTACAAGTGCAAGACTTCAGCCTCGCCGTTTCCGACAGGGCCCCAGCCAGCGAGTTGATTGTTTAAATTCATAGACAAAGCCATAGACAGAGATGACATAAGGAATTTGGAGGGATCCTCTTTGGTGGCAGCGGGAGGTTGCAATTAGGTAATTGACAGAGGAGGTAGGTAATAACCTAACTAACGCAACCCACGAGAGATCCTATAGTTAGTCCATCATTTATCCCTTCTTCTATGAGAACCACCCATTTCAATTAATAGGATAGCTCCATTTTCCCTACGTCTTCTTCTTCTATAGCTTTATCTATCAATTTCAACGATCACCCTGCAGAGGAAGTGGTGGCGGCTCTGGCATTAGGTATTAGCAGTGTTCCATGAGAGTGTCAGTGTGCCGTTTCCAAGTGTCGACGGTGAGACTCCTAAACCAAGTAACTCGATTTGCGACAGATGCCCCCTTCTTGTCATAGGTACTTCATTTTTAAATGGAGAAATAAGCACTCAGCGTCAATTCTCGAAAACTTCCATGATTTTTCTACTCCTTCCGAAGCAAATTCTGAAAATACTTCCAGGGATGATGGAAATCTACTCGGTCCATTCCAAGAAATGTGAGGGAATGTGCTAGTAATAGCGTGACATACCTTCCATATTTGAAACTAGCATCTAGTCAGGGGCTCAGTCCCATGGGCCCCAGATTACTCGCTTCGAAAGGGCGCGGAAAACTTTCAAGAGCGGATATTGAAAGTTTCGGATTTTTTGTATCATCTGGATGGCTGCGAAAGGATTGCGCGAGCAGTGCCCCCTTCTTTACCTTTTTGGAGATGCATAGGATTGCGCGAATTATTCTGCGGGCAGATTATTGAAAGTGATAGACAAAGCCATAGACAAAGCAGACAAAAGGTACATGGAGAGATCCTATTGGTAGAAACGGGTGGTTGCAATGGACAAGAAGAGTAGGTAATAGACTAAGTAACGGCAACTCACGAGGGACGCGATAGTTAGTCATCACTTTCTCCCTTAGTCTATAGGAACCACCCATTTCAACCAATAGGATGGCTTCATACTCCCTATGCCTTCTTTGTCTATCGCTTTGTCTGTACCTAAATTTCAATAATCGGCCCGCTGGTGCTGAAAACTCACATGTTTGCGCGAGTGTTTGTGTTCAATATTCAACGAGGGATAGCGTTAATCTGGCAACCTTAGTAGTTTGTGGTATAGGTAACTAAATCGCAGATGACTGTTCATTCCCTCCTGTGACGAGTATGTCGCTCTTCGATGGATAGCTCTCGCAGCACGAATGGTCCAGACAGTCTTCATGGACATTTAAAAAGTGAACTAGGGGTCTGTGGCCGCTACGCGGCCGCCAACCACTGAATAAAACCACACGTAAAACATCCTAGAACAACCATGTTCAAGTTTCTTATGAGATGAATGGATTCAAAACCCGACGGGTGCGCCCGATAGAAAGCGTATATTTATCTCTGATTGCAACGTTGTGCGCCACTTTTAGATTTTATTTTTAATAAATGTTATTAAAAAGCTACACACAGTTTTTCTGAAAATTTTCCGCGGATTTACCTAAATAAAATCAAATTATAGTATCAAAAATTTCGACGCGATATTCTAGTTCGTTGTATTTTCTTTTAATGTAACAAAATAAATAAATAAAAAAATTACATAACATTCGAGTTTCTGAATCGTTACAATGAGGATACATATTTCCCCTTTAATTATGGTAAAAACTGGAGCAGAAAGTCAAGAATGATGACACGCAGTCCTACGGTCTTGTAGGAGCTAATATGCGTTTCACGCCAACTGACCGACTGTACTGCGTTTGGCGCAACGCGAGAAGTATTCGCGCAGTCTTGTAGGCGCTAGTATGGGCTTGACGCCGGCCGCACTGTTTGGCGCAATGCGCGAAGTATTCCGAAGGTTTTGCAGGCGCTGATATACGTCTAACGCCGGCCGCACTGTGTTTGGCGCGATTGTTCGAACTCGCGTTGGAGTACTCGCGGCATCGAATAATAGAGCTTATGTGTTGTGTTTCGACGCCGTATGCACATTCCAACTTTGCCTCGGGGTATTTTTTCCGAGAAAAGTTAGGAAAGTTCATTATACTCACGACCATCTTTATCTTTTCACTTTCAACAACAAAAAACTAAAAAACTAACTAACAAACTAACCTAAACTGATGTTAATAAAAATAAAGCGTTTATTTTCCAACTGTTTCCTGTTCTGCCCAACTTTACCTTAAATTAACTTCATTTTAAATTCGCGCATTCTTGTAGCAGATGTTAAGGTTTCTATTCGCGCATAATCCTCACGTTTCCTTAGACCTTCTGCGCAATCTTGGATTACCGACCTGGACATCAACAGCTTTCCTTAACGCGACAAAAAACAAGAAAATCGGCCCGGCGGTTCTGCAGAATTAAGGATCGCAAAGTTTCGACACTTAAAGTTTTATTTATATGTATATAGATTAAATTGGATCAACTATTCGGTGGGAACAGCTCAAAATTGCACCTGAGACGACTGAATTTTTTTGTCGACAGGGGAAGACGCTTTTAGTCAAAATAATAATTCAAGGAATTTTTTTTTTTCAAGTGAATCGAAGACTAAAAGTTCTGTCATCTACTTACGTCATCGACCTCGTTCCAAGATACTCAAAATAAGAGCTCGCTTTTTACCCCTATCCGGTGCACCAACTGTCAACGTCGCGTCGTCGTGCCGTATCGGGTTATGGCAAATCAGCGACAAAAAACTCATCTGACTCTTTGATTTTGCATCGATTCATGAAATGCAGGAAATTGGGGCACCGTCTGGTAAACGGAGAGTGAAGGGACGAAGGTGGCGTGAGGAGGGGGAGGGTGGTTAGGAAGGCGGGGGCGGGAGCAACAAAAAAATTGACGCGGCCGGCGCCGGCCTGGCACTGGCAGTCGTCGTTCATCTCGTTGCTTCTATACTGCCGCGCTAAGGAAGAACACCCTATGAGCCTCCGGAGGTTGCCAGATTTACAGAGAGAAATTTTAACACAAAAGTTTGGTGAATAGACTGATTTAGTGGCTACGTCATTCGATATAATATCGAACTCGTGGTTCAAACCTAAACAAACTAACATAACCTCATGCAT